AATGTTGATGGTGGTCAAAGACGATCAATCTAATCTAAGCTACACAATTGTTAGCCATAGTTCCATTTTGAGGAGCAAAGCGCAGCCAAGCGCAGCCGAACGGCCCATTGCTCACGGATGCATTAGGAGGTTCGATGAAGGCGAAATTGGAGGCTGGAGGAGGGGGCGCCTTCGCCCAGCGCCTTGGACAACGTGGTGGCGCACAAAGGCCATCCATGCCCCGCCGTGACGTCCAGCTGCCCACCCACCTGCTCTCCAAGTTCGGGATCTCTAGATAGCTCAAGAAACGTTTCAAACGCGGAGCCTTGCGAGGTCCCACGTTACCTCAACTGAGCGATCTTTGCCCCCCAGGAAATAGTGCTAGGACTCAAACTCGACTTTTGACAATGTTTGATCTCCCGGTAAAGCGGGATGCAACGGGAAAGGCCGCGCGGCTGTCCACACGGGAGAATTTCCTCGGCGCTCGGCCCGTCTCGTCTCAGGCATGGCCCAGACCACGAGCGCCCAGCTGCGTGCTACGGAGGGGACTGGTGTCGGGTGTTTGGGCATACAAAAACGACGGTGCGATGCGCAAAAATGGATGATGGGAGTGACTCAACTTCGGCGCAAGACTCAACCACAAGTAATGTAATTATGTAATTGGTGGGCAAGGGGACTGGGTGTTATGTATCCGGCAAGGAGGAAAAAATATGACATGTAATGCTGCGCAGCATTACTAGATAGGTAGCCAATATTCCGAGGTAGGGTATCTGTGCGGTTTGCTCGTCTGAAGCCATGGAAAGTTGCAAGTCAATCACAAAACGGTGCAGGACGGCACGGTGATTTTGGTTTCTTGATACAGCTGCTACCCATCCCCGGATATCCGTAACTTATCAGTGGCCACACAACCCCCCCGCTCGACCATTTGTGACTTTCTTTTTTCCCTTGTAATACAGGCTTTGGCCTTCACTTTCTTCGCGTATATACCTCCGCAGGTATAGTACCAAAGGTGCCCGGTACCCAATTCACATTTGGGAAGATTCCCCATGTGTAGGTACTACCTAGTCAACTAGTGTAGGTAGCTGAAATGCTTCTCATGAATTTAGCAGCTCAAAATGAGACTGCGCCGCCGCAGCATGCATTGTACTACTGATTGTGTCAGAATAGTGTGTGTAAGATCGGTAACTAGGTAATGGTGCAACCAACAAATGTCCCGCAACTTGCATCTTGATCATATTCTGATGTGTCCCAAATGTGGGCCCGGCGGGAACTGTGAGCAGCAAACATGCAAGAACCCGTCGAAAAGGACTTGTACCACCCTTCATTAATGACGTCGAATTCTTCTAGACTTTGACACGCATGCATGCCCTTGAAGTCAGCGAATCCCAAGTTTCCGGCCAAGTTTTGTGGTCGGGACTCGAGAACGGGCCGATGGGTCATTGCCACGCTTGCCACGGCCCGGCCGGGGACGACTGGCTGAGGATGGCCCTGCCCCAGGTAACAGAGTTTTCTACCAACCAAACAAAATGCAAAGGGATTTGTGACGTTACCACAGTAGCTGATAATTTGAGGAGCAGGGTTTGTCATTGTTCCCTTTCTCATTTTTTAGAGACAGTGGGGCGACACCGAGAAGAAAAAAACTAAACGGAACCGGAGTCCTCATCCGGTACGATGCGATGGTGCTTCTCGTTCGGATCCCAGGGAGTGAGAGAAGAAATCTTACATGTATTGGTGTCATACTTACGCGGTTCGGACCACCCCATTTTTAAATCAGGTACCTCCGGTAAGTGACGCAGCAGAACAACGTTACCAAGGACTGTGACCGTCGTCCATCCCAAGCACTCTGGAAAGTATACATGCGGGCAAAGCTTAGTTTTAGACAACCACGCACTCTGTATGATCTCACGGCTGCGAGAGCATTGCCGTCTCGATGCGATATGTTCTACAGACGGATGAAAGAGAGAGTCGAAGAGAGAGGTTAACTAGCTTCACCAAGTGCTAGGTAGGCGCTCGTCCAACAAGACGAATGCTGGCCAGCCCCCGATTTCGTACCGCGTGTGCTCGTCAGTAACACCACTTCAGGGTTCGCCGGGCCGAAACTGACCCCGTTTCCCGGTTTGTGTAACCAAGAGTTTCATTCCTGCTGGAACCCAGTCAATGTCTGACAGCCGTGACAGGCCAGGGGCTGTTCTTATTCGACGCAAGGCGGCTCAGACTTGCCATCAAAAAGATGTAGATGTACCTTGAAACACACAGATGTGATCAGTCAAATCTTGAACTCAGCACTTACATTTAGCTCCCAACTAGCGATTGGGTCCGATACAAACATGCACGGCAGATGAAAGACAAAAATAAATCGACGTCCAAGAAGACCAATGCTTGGTCAAAACACCGGGTTGCCCTTTTCAATCGTCCGCTTCGTAAGCCTCCCGCAGAGGGCGGTCATCACGAGACCTGGGGAAGCCATCAGCGTCCGGTGTTTGTAGCAAATAAGGAATCGACCCCTCACCCTGCGGCCCCAACTGCGGCCAGGCCGCCGCCCCATTCTGGTCATGATAAATTTCGAGACTTTTCTTCGGCTTGTTTTTGCTTCTTGGGCGAGCAGAAGAGGCGCCTGTCAAATCGCCTTAGTAGCCCTGATTTGTGAGCAAAATCATCTATCCTAGTTTTACCCTTGCTTTCGAAGCGACGAACAGCTGAGAGCGAATACGGCGATTACACGTGTGTCCGGCGATGTACACAGTACCAAGTAATTTAGGCCAGGGATGGTTACCAGGGACGTTCAATACCAAGCCTGGGCAGGTGATGTGAAATACATACTTCGTAACTGAAAATACCCTGGCATGTATTCGTATGGTAAGCAACAACCGCACAACCGAAGTCTCCTTGGAGCCAGTTTTTGAGCGTTGCCCGTGCACCCACCGAGCCACCCCTGGAACATCGCCTGAACTGGGACCGCGGCCCGCACCTCTCCCAGCAGAAGTTCCGTCGCTTCCATGATCCACCCCCGAGCCACCAACTCCGTTGCTGGGACCGGCCCAGGGGCCCCTTGAAACGTCGGCCTTGCTCATTCATCTTTTCCATGGCCCAGGGCGCCCAGCGCCGGGGGTGTTGTGCATGCGCCGCTCAGCCTGTGACCCAACACCTGCTGCGGCCCTCGCGGGAAGGCCGACGGATCCATCATAAGCGAGCCATCTTCCATCCATTCCCAGCCGGCCCCTGTCCTACTGGACAAACCGATCTCGAGTTTCGGTTTTGAATCACACCCGAATTCTTTTGCTGCAAGTTCACGGAGCGGGTATTTTGACGGCTACGATCACCCGTTCTCGAACCACAACCCCGCATCCCATCCGGCGAGATCCCCGCTAGACTTGGCAGTCAAAGCAGTCCCCAGCAGCCCCCTAGTCCCGTCTGTCCCCGGCCCAGCCCGAGATCCCGAAACATCTTGAGCCTGCCGTTGTTGTCTCGACTTTCCCCCGGCAAAAGACCTCCAAGAAAAGCCCTTCACCCCGTCAAGACACGTCTGGCGAGGAAACAGGCCGCGCCGCGCCAACCGATAGGCTCTCTCGCAGGCGCGCGTCTTCCTGAAGGGCCGGCACGTGTTGTTTTCAAGAGACCAACCGCCGGCGACTCGAACAAACACCAGCGTCGAGGTGGTCACGTTTTGCCATTGTCGGGAAAGGGCAGTGCCGGAAACAGGATACCTCCGTACGCTGTGTGTCTCCGGCCTACGTTCTTGCCAACCTCACGGTACGTTCTTTCCATCTATCGCCCTGTTGGACCTGTGCTGGGAAGGCTTGCCTCAAACATCTCGCTCCTGCTTGTCAACCGCCTCTCAGTGCCTGACAGCAAGGCCATGATGTGGGAAGGAACGACGAGTTCCTAGCAGATATTTCAACTTGTCAGGAGGCGGGAAGCGGTCAGAGAAAGAACCCATCGGCAAGGCCTGGTTTTCTTGATTGCAAGTGCAGCACGCAGCTGGGTTTCTGCGTTCCTTCCATTTTGGTCACTCGGTCGAATCCGCTCCAGCGGCGTCTGGCCGTGCGCACATGCTCCTTGTTCCCACACCCCAGCGACTCCTTGCGTGGCGCGGCGGATGCACTCACACCCTCCTTCCTCCCACACCTCACCGCAGCCATGCAGCTAACACCTGCACGTTTCGCCCGTTTCCGTTTCCTTCCCGCTGCCATCCATGTTCCGCCCCCTGCCGCCTGTCAGCCGGTGCCTCCTTGGTTACCCACTGCGGGCGATCCAAACTGCTCACGCTCGCTCTTGGGACGCTTGGGAAGCGGCTTGATTCGCTGCAGCCCAAGCGGGCTGCGTCGTTGCACTCCGGGGGGGACCTCAGTGCTCGTTTTCATGCAGCTCTCCTGGGTTATTTTCCCTTTCAGCCCCGCCGGTCGTGCCCGCCATCGCATCCACGCTAACTTCGGGACCCAGGCCGTCAGCAGCAAGGGAACTCCCGCTCCTTGATAAAAAGGGTCGTTCCAGTTCCCGCCCGGGCGCGACAATACATCATTACCCGCCCGTCCACGTCCTTCCCCAGTTGACCCGCCCTTTCTTCCCCCCCTCTCCCCTCTGCCTATTTATTCATCCATCCCACCCACTTCCCTCGGTGGGACCTTGTGGCTTCTTCTTCCCCCCTCCCCCGTCTCCAGTCTTCCCATTCTGCAACCCATTGCATTGGATTTCGTCACCAACGGCGTCGTCCACGTCGTCGCCCAGGGCCTGCGTGTTGCTTGCTGCGAGGAATTGGCACTGCCGATTGCCGCGGATTGCCATCACCATTACCGTGGAACCGTTCCAGACCGCTTCACAAGGAGATAAAGGTGGCGTGACTCACACGCCCAGCTACAAGCCCGAGCACCTCGTTGGACTTGGGGTGTTTGCACATCCGCCAATCTCGATAGCCACGGGGATACAAAGGCATTGAAACTTGGCCTCATAACCAAAAACCACCTCCGCGTCTCTACCGTTTTTGCCGCGGCTGTAGAAACCTAACCGACGGACCGCTTTTCACCATGGGAGACGAGTATCGAAGGGGCAGGGCGGAGTTGCCACGGGACAATTCTGAAGACATGCGCTACCCACCTCCCCCCGAAGGCGACGAGCGAAGACGGCCGCCTCAAACTGGCCCAGACGGTGCGGTGTTGCCTCCCATGGCGTACCCACCCCCAGGCCCTCCGTATCAGCCAGACCCGCGCTACCAGGACCGAGGAGCGGGAGGCTATGGGCCGGATCCGAGATATCACCCAGACCCGAGGAGTTGGCCGCCAGAACAGCCACCCCCAAATGGCTATGCCGCCCCAGCAGATGCGCGCTATCCTCCGCAGTACCCTCCCCAGGATCCCCGTCAGTTTGACGACCGGAGGCCGTACGACGATCGGAGACCGTACGATGACCGTCGTCACTACGACGAGAGGAGACAGTACGAGGAACAAAGGATGTACGACGAACAGAGGCAGTACGGAGACCGGAGAGGTTATCCTGAATCGTACTATGATCCTCAGCACCCACCTCCAGGACGGGGTGCTCCTTACCCGCCCGACTACTACCGTTATCCCGCAGGCCCATTCGGGTACGGAATGGGCCCTCCACCACCACCGCCTGCATCTCAACAACAGTCTGCGCCGAGGCAGAGAACCTCGATAGCTTGCCGGTACTGTCGCAAACGAAAGGTATTTTTGATTTGCTAAACATGGAGAAGCAGTTGTTCAGCGAGAGGAAGTGTTGGTTAACTAGTTTGATTTCTTGACAGATCCGCTGCAGCGGGTACACGCATACCACCAACGGCAAATGCACCAACTGTGACAAACTCCGAATCGATTGCATCTTCCAGCCTGTGTCGTCAAATTCATCGGCTGCCTTCGTCCCCGTGTCGGCGGTCCCAGGAGGCGTCCCGCCTGGAACGCCGCTTTTCGGAGCGTACGGCCAGCCTTTGCCCCCATCCTCCTCGTCCGGTCCGCAACCCGCACGCACCTACCCTCACTACGCAGCGGCTGACTACACGCCACCGATGCACTCCCCGACTGGGTCAACATACCTTGCCTCGTACGACGACAAGGATCCCGGGCGTCGGCGAACGCGCCCGCCCGACGAAGAGCACAGCGCTCGCCCGGGCCCCCCGAATTACCCGCCCGACGACGACCCTCGCAGGCGCTCTCCCGTTTCGATCAAGAGCAACGGCACCCCGCCCACCGCGTACCACTCATACCAGCAGAGCCCCTATGACCGAGATCGGCCTCCTACACCGAACCAAAACAGCCCTGGCCGTCCCATGCCGCCACAACAAGTGCAAATGCGAGGCTCGCAGGGCCCGTCGCCACAGACGCCACAGCCACAAGGGCAGCCTTCGGCGCCGCCGCCCAAGGGCCAGGGACCCGCACCGGCTTCTGGTTCCTACTCGTCCAACCCGATGAGTTTGGATCACCTGATGGGCCCTTCGTCCCGCTCTGTTAACGACATTGACCGGAACATGTTGGGCAGGCTGGGCAGTCGGATGCAGTGATTCAGAAAAAAAGCAAAGGCTGGTGCTTGGTAAACGAGTGGACTGTTGGGTTTGAAAAAACGCAACCGAGAACAAGGTTTACTGCAAGTGGGAGCGAAAGAGGGAAGATATCAACCTGGGAACGAGTCATCGTTTTGGGTTCACCGGCCCAGAACCACTGGGCAACCAACCCACCATTGAGGAACCCAGTCGTCCTACTCCGTACCGCTCTACAAACAAACGAAAGAATAATGCAAGTCTAATCCTTTCGTGAGACCTTTTGGCGTTCTGTTACGCCACGTTTCCTCCTTGCTATGTGGTTCTTCCCCCGATATTTTTAGCACACACTTTTTCTTGTTTTGGGAGGGGTCTCCTGTTTCCTTCGTATGGAATTTGCCGAACGAGTTATTCTGGCGGTGCTGTATGACGGGAGGAGGCATTTTGAGCTTGAAAGTTTTGCGAAATGAATGCTACGAAGACTGTGAACGCGGGCCTGGGTGGGATGTCTGAACTGAAGAGAGGGGGGGTTGCGGTTGCCTCTGACATCTGTCCGGGCACGACTATGGTTTTGATTTTTCTTCCCTTGGACGTGTCTTCTTCCTATCTTTTTTCTTCTTCGTTTTTTCGGTTGCATAGGGAAGGAAAGAAAAGGATCGCCTCACGGCCCACCTTGTCATGTCTTCTTGCGTGGTTTCGGTTTTATTTCCTCTGCTTTTTTTATCCCGTCACTCGGCTTCCTAGGCCAGCGGTCCCCGGACTGTGGTCGGTTGTGGTATGCTCCTTTCCCTTGTTATTTCGACACAACATGGGGCTCAGCGATGGGTTTAACGAACGACAAAATGTAAACAGTGTGTGCAAGCAAACTTTTTTTCATTATTTCCTTCAACTTCTAGCTATAGCCACCGTGCTTCTCTGCCGGGTTCGGAGGAAGAAAAGGTCCTCATACTGCTACAGGTAGCAAACGGGCCAGATGTTATATCGGGTGCGAAGCTTTCTTTTTTTTTTTTTTCTCTTACTCTTGGTCGGTCTCTTTGTCGTTATCGTTGACATCAATCAATTTTCTATTCGCCGTCGCTTACTTGCCAACTTTGCTTGCCTGCCTGATCTCCAATTCAGTTGTTCCCGCAGCTACACTACTTAAGTTATCCACTTCCCGGTGGTCCGCGATGGTCAGTTAGGTTACCTTTGAAAGGTATATGTGCTGCTCGGACGTTGAGGGCCCGTCCACCAGCGGGCGGGCCGGCCACAGCGGTGACTAACGATATCGCCCTCCCGCGCCCATCGCCTGCGGCCCCAGGGGCCCCCAACTGGGTTACACCGTACAGGGGAAAGAACAGGAGAGAAAAAGGACGAGGGTGGGACAGCGAGGGGTGAAAAATGGACGGGAAACTCGCAGCAGCTGCAGCGGCAGGGTGGCAGAGGAGCGGGGATGAATCGTACATTGGGGGGAAGAAAAGCGTAACTAGTGGAAAGCAAAGAGGGGTGTGTGGGTGCGGCCGTTGCTTAGCTCACAGTCCCCCATCTTTCTCGCTGACTGCAAGTGTCCATTTCCACGATGAGTCCATTTGCGCGACTCCTTGATCCTAGATGATGGAGAGTGGCCTCTTTACTAGCTCGCAAGCTGCTCCTCCAACACCCCCATTCCTTTAGGTACCGTGTCGAGGAGCCCAATGGCGCTACACAGTTTGTCGGGGACAAAGTAAACGGAGAGGAGAGCAAAAAACCGGCGGTCCCAAGAAAACGGGGTGGATGGCATCCCGGGGGACTTGGGGGCCGGCGCGAAGAAGGACGCGACGGAGAGTTGTGCGAAGGGGAAGCGGCGGTATCCCGGCCAGGCGCAGGCATAGCTTACCCGACCTTTCCTTGCCCGCGCGCCCGCCCGCCTTCCTCCAGGGCCCTTCCGCGGGGCCAACAAGCCGACCAGGTTCTAAGGGGGTCGAGGGGGCGGACCGGCTGCTTTCTGGGGGGGATTCTTGCCTCAATGGCTAGTTGGCTTGTCCCTGGCTGCTGCTGCCGCCGTTTCGTTCTTTGCTGAAGAGGGTCTCTGGGAGATGAAGGGGTGCTTGAAGAGGAGAGGGAAGACAAGAGACCGAGAAAATGAGGTGATGCTTTCCTTCCGCCTCCTCCTTTGTAAGTTGTCTGGTTGCCTTGCGCCTGTTAGTTCGGTGGTGGGCTGGGGCTCGGGCTGTACACATTCGGCAGCCATCTGAAAAACAATCAATGGCTTCGGAGCCGCCCTATTCTCCAGCCTGCCCGGATGTCACGAAGGTGCTGTCCAGTAATCCAACGGCTCCGGAGCGATTCCGCGACGGACAGTTGCCAAGGCAGAATTAGGACAATGATCCAAGCAACGTGCTGTTCAGCTCCTTCTCGTTTCTCTTGGGTTGCGGTGCGCCTCAACATAATGCGACATCGATGGAAACGAAAGGGGGTATTATCATGCTCGATGGCTCTGTGTCTTGACAGCTTCATCCCTGTGCCGTTGCAGTCCTCGCCGGCAAAACCAGCACGACCACCCTTTGTGGGAGGGGGACTTTTGTTCCGCCAGCCCCTCAAACACAGCTCATCTTTCTTCCGTATTCGATTTCATGACTTCCCCCGTAATTCTTTTTCGACTTGGCGGGGGAAGAGCGGTCTAATCCAATGCTGCCATCTCCGCCGGAATGCAAGTGTGATGTGCAACGAAGCAGGCTGATCCCTTCGACGGTCGACTGGTGAGTGAAATTGCTCAAGCAATATTTCGTTGTTCGTACTGTGTAGGCATTATTACCACAGAAAACTTATCTCTGTGTTCTTTCTGCTCGAACTCATGGGCTGATTTTGTATTGTCCTACAAGCAATCAGATTCACTATGGCCACTTTGTCTGGCTGATGCTGGTTGACTGCAGCTTCAACGATGGTCTAACGCGAAAACGGAGAAGGAATTGCCCGAAGCTTGAGGCTCTGGTTGGTACACATACGATTTCCAAGTTTTGCATTCCCTACTGTGTGTAAGTGGTGCCTAGTCAGCAGGTCTTGCGAGCCACGCCACGGGGTGTTGAGATTGAACAGTTGGCGGAAACAATGCCCTTGGACGGCCTCACTAAGATATCCCATCCCCTCATGCTGGAATGAAGGGTCTGGCATCGGAGGTCCTCATTGGGGCGCTATCGAAAACTAGACTGCCGCGTTAACTCTCGTACGAATTACTTAACGTAAGCGTCGGCCTCGCATGATCACCCGTCGTTGGGCTTGAAGCGGTGTTGGTGGCTGATTTTCTTGATGCGTAACGCTAGTCCAAGCAGGTCTCACTGCCTGACAGCACTGCACGAATAGGGGAAAACGAATCGGTCGACGACAGCTGTGGTGTCGGGGTCACCTTGTCCAAATGGTCTTGTCGTGCCGGAACGGGCGGCCGGCATACGGCCACCACCCAGGTGCTGCCGCGGGATGGCGGCGTAACTTAGCGGGAAGCATGAAAAGGACAATGCGGCCGATCCTTTTGGGCGTCAGCTCCCCCATCAATGGGGCCATCATCGATGCGCAGCGGCATCAAAACCACCACAACAAACTAATCAAATCCTTGAAGACGCACGTCGCTGACTCGCCGAAGGAGGGCAACATGCTTAGGGATCCCAGTCCCCCCGACCGAGCTCGAACGGACCCGTGGGAGTTCCCGCACGCTGCCCGACGACCCAACTTCCCTTTAGCCTGCCCAACGCTGCACGCTTCCGTTTGGACATTGGATTGGCGCGGGCTCCGTAACGGGCCGAGCCCCTCGGGTGGGAATTGGGGCGACGGAGATTTGATGATTCCTGGGGAACCGAGGCTTTGTGGCGAGAAAGAAAGTGGAAAGAATGCAGCTGGAATACCAACCGCTGTGTCAGTGAGACAGGCGTTGGGTGAAGGAAAGATCGAAACGTCACTCCGGACTTCACGGCCGCTCACCATGCGGAGAGGTTTGTCAAGTTGACAGAACGGAAAGTGATTGGGCAATAAAACGGCGGTTCTAAAGAACACTTCATTGGAATACACGTCCGGGTAGCAGTGGCATCCATGGAACGGTCTCGGTCCCGGCTATGACGGGCAGGAGGAGCACGGTCAAATGAACGCCCAGGCAAGCAAAAGATGGGACATCCAAAAGATGCCTATGAAATCAATACAGCAAGTCAAGTAAGTACCTCCTCTAGTTAGTCGGCAGGTTCGGCCCTCCTGTACTGACGTGCGTACTTCCATGTTCTGATAAGGAAGGTCCGTTCGTTCCGGAGGAAAGAGCGAAGTTATTGAGGGGGACGTCACCATTGCACACGGATTGGGAGTCTGGGAGGCAAGCGCATCCAACCGCCGGTGCATGGACAGCCTCCAAAGTCTTCCGAAGAGGGAGTTGTATGCCCATGCCACTCGCACTTTAACCAAGGATCTTATCGGTAGCTAACGGGGCGAGGTTAGTAAACGCAACGGCACACTTTGCGAAGAGACTTTTCATCGATGAAGAAAACGCTGACGCTCAAGACACAGGCTTGTTTTGCGTCAAGTCCGGAAGAGAAGTCCGAGGCCATGCGCGGTGTGCAAGGCCAACGGAGCCTGATTCCGGCCGTTCTTTCCTCGGCTGCTTAACCAAATTTTACAACCAAGATGAGAAGTGGCGTTTTGAAACAGAAATTATCTGTTTCTTACCTCCGGACTGTTACGAACAGGACAATGTTGCCGGTGTAATGGTTTACCGGTTCGTGTACGGATCCGTACCAAGAGCTTCCCGTCCTATGGCCCGGAATTTGGATACCTCACCGCAGGAGGCTTCAAGGTTGCGTGAGCTAATAATTTATCTCGTCCCCAGACCCTAATCTGCCACTCCCAATACAAGGTTGTAGCTTGTCCCACACCGTTATTCCCCGCCGCGAGACTGCCGCCGACGTTCGGCGGGCCGGGGCTAAAAAGTCCGGCCACTTGCAACGTGGTTTGAAATCGAACCACCACGCGACCAGCGATACAAACCGCTCACCCACGGTTGTGGGCGGTCGGGGGCACTGGAACCCCGAGAGGGCTGCGACTGGAAATTTCGGGCGCTGAAAGAGGCTGGAAGGCTGCTGTCAGCTTACTGAATCACATTGCCTTGGCCGAGTCGGGAGAGAGGTGGCCAGGGGCTGGATGCTGAGAATATTGACATTTGGGCGCAACGGACGGAGAGTTTCTGTCCGCCGTTTCACAGATTCCGTCCGGCGCGGCCGTGACTCGCCGGATAGCACACGGAGGCAGGAGGGCTAAAACAAACTACGGAGGGGTGCTGGGGCGTGGGCAAGATACGGCCGCCGGCGTGAGCCACGGGGCCTTGCAGGCCTCCGAGGACTGCCCCAGACTCAATCCTATGCAGTCCCTTGCCTCCTCTAGCTTCAGTTGAAACTCATCGACAAAATTGTTTGATTACCATGCTAACGGTTGTAGGCGAGCAGAAAACTCCATAGGCTTGGTACATTGGGTCGTGGACGGCTGGCTCTATTAGCTGAAATCTCTTGAGACCAGCGATGTTAAGATCCCTTCAAATCGTTTCTACCAAGAATAGTCATCGGCTCGTCCCAATTCATAGAGTGAGCACAAACACTGTCAACAACAAACCGCTCTCCACTCCGCCCCGAAGAATCACCGGATTTGGCCGATGACGACCGACGAAGCAAAAGGCGTGGCTCTAGATTCTCTAGGGTTCGGCACCCTCCTATCTACTTTTCAAAAGCTCGGGAAATGGGTGACTGGCAGTGTAATTTATGTTCAAGTTGCTCTGCGGGTTAACTCTGCCCAAAACCATACCGCCCCAAGTTCCCAACATCACGACTCCTGGATATTAGTGTTCAAATAACCCAATTCGATGGTATAACCCCCACCTAGTCGGAAGTTGGATCTAACAAAAGCTTCTAGACTCGGATTTTAACCTTGTCGACAAAAGAAAGTCATGCTCCTCCCAGTGGACCCCCTAGCATGGGTGCTAGCAAGGGGTTTTAGTTGCGATAGCAACAGACGATGAAGGGTGGAGTCGTGAACTAAAACATGCCTCCAATAGTTTTCAATCATTCGAGCCATGGGTTATGGGGTGATTAGACAAGTAGTTGTTGCTCACGGGAGTGATTTCGTTTGGTAGGTTGTTGGGGAGGGTCGTGGAAGCGGTCCAGCCTCCGAACCTGAAACGAGACTCAATTGCCCAGATATCCAGAATCAGAGTTCTTATATCAGGCATTTAAGGGTCTCTGATATCCCTGCCCTACCTTCAGTGAGATTATTAAACCCCTAGACCCCGGTGAGAGGAATATGAACTCGTCAATCAGCAGTTGCTAACCCAGACGCTGATGTGCAGTCGCTCCACGGGCCATGAGCCCCCCTGGTGGCACCCGAGTCTGTAAATGCAACACAAGGCCACTCAGTATCACGGTTTTCTCATATATTCCTGCGCAACAACGTTACAAAACGGGCTCGCTCCCTCCGGATCTTGCATGGTATCTCGGGTCTGCTAAGCTGGACGCAGTGACATATACTGCGAGGACCTTCGAGCACCCCGATAACACTGGACGCACTGGATGCGCAGTATTCCTCTCCAGACACAACTTGGGTAACTTCGAGGCAGAGGCTCGGGAGTTAAGTAATGACTTGGATTCAACCGGACAACCCCGAAGGAGAATGTTGCTCGGGTATAACTCCGGAACTCCGAGCTGAAGATACCTTCCATGTAGACCGTGGCGCGAATAAGGAGTTAACATGTTGTACGACGAGCTGCCACAAATTAGGAGGCTAATCATAACTCTTCCCATACCTACGATAAGGAGGTCCCGGTCTCGCTACATAAAACCGGAAGGTTTCGGAAGTCCTTGAGTTATCAAATGTGTACGGTCGGACTGTCTTATCCCAGTGATGGTGTTGCGTGGCCGCTTATGCACAAACAGACCTTAGACACAATCGGCCTGCCCTGCCCTAGATGACGCCGGCAGGATACGGGGCACCCTTAACTGGGTGGAAATATAATAGGAACTCAATTCTCGCTGACAAAAGTCGGAAGAACGAAATAACAGCAAGGCAATCCAGGCTGTCTTGCGCAGACTCTGCAGGCTCAAAACTGAAGCAAAAGAAGGTAAAACATCCCAAACCCCGATACACCCAACGCAAATCGAAAAGAGGCAACATAAACCAAAAGGAGACGGGACGGCGATCCATCATAAACCGACCCTCCCTCAAGAAATCGGCTGCCCAAGCCAACTGGCCAGCTGAATAGCTCATCAACTAAAAAGATCTCCCCAAAACACGACGTTAATAACGGTAAACATGGTCATCAACCCTAGGTGTCGCCCCGTACACATCCGATCCACCCTCATCTGAAACAGGCGTAACCGGCTCCGTTTTCCCCTTCTCAGCCCCCCTTGCAGCCGAAGACGAGCCACCGGCGCCGCCACCAAACCCAGGATGGAAAGGCTCAAAGGAAAGCCGTTGTTGGGTATCACTTGCCCCGCCGACGGGCCGGGACGATGACGATCCGGACGCGTGGTAGTGGGTGGCGGTCTCGGTTGGTGGGTCGCGGAACGGATCCTGCCCGTCGTCGTCGGTGTCGTCGTGGCGGGGCGTCCCGTTTCCGGAACGGGACGGGCCGGCGATTGGGGATGCGGCGGTCGCGGCCGCGGCTGCGTCGTAGGGGTCGAGGCTTGCCTTACCCTTGCCGCTGCTGATGCCGAGGCCGCCGCCGCCGAAGCTGCTACCACCGAAGCCGCTACCGCCGGCCCGTCGGGCGGGCACGGGCGGGCTGACAGGCGGCCGGGTTTCCTCGGCCACGGGTGGTAGTTGGGGAGCCGGGCTGGATTCGCTGGCTGGGCTGTCGGCTCCGTGGAGTTGTTTCTTGGCCTGGAGCACGGCGCGGCGGTGGTGGTTGAGCGCTTGCTGGAGCTGCTCGTTGGTGTCGATCAGGCTCTCCATCGTGTCGTTATCCGGGCCGGGGCTGTCGGCGGCCATGTACCCCTGTATGCTGCGGGATGCGCTGGAACACCGGTCCGAGAACTCCTTGATCAGCTCGTTGGATAGGACCTCCGAGGGTGGGGTGCACGCGACGACCTGCTCGAGGAGCTTGGCCGATGTTCGAGCCTCCTCAAGTCGGTTTGCGAGCTCGACCGGGTCCGGGAGGGGTTTCGCGTGGACCGGCCGGTGATGAGGTAGGGAATGGTGGGCTTGTTGGTACGGGTTGAAAGGCTGCATCATATTGGGTGGTGGTACTGGTGCAACGGATGTTCCCTAGGTGGTATGTTAGTCGGCGCACCAACGAGCCAGCATGGAAACCGAAACTTACCCCATACGCCCTGTATGCCTTCTCCTTCTCCTTCTTCCACATCTCGATGGTGGGACCCAGTCCTTCGTCCAACGCCTTCGAGGTCTCGAACGAGTCCAGTGTTTCCATCAGAAGCTGGCGCACGCTTGGGTCCCGGCCGGTCCGCAACAGATCCTTCGTCGCATCGACAAACTTCTTGTCCATGTACCGTGTGAACCCGGGGCCCGGGTTGTCGGCCAGGATCCGAATGAGCATGATGGCATTGTATTGGTACGACGGCTTCGACCAGTAGTCGCGGTGCAGGTACTTGCGGATCACGCGGGCGGCTTCTGCGGCAGCGGCGGGCGAGGCAACGGCAGCCTCAACGATCAATGGGAGGAAAATAACATCGTCGCCCTGTTGGGATGCATAGGATCTCAAGCATTAGCCTATCGGACGAAACGAAAGGTTGAGGGGTCGGAAGGAAGGCATGTCGTGACGGACCGAAGAGCTCCCCACGGACTGACAAAATTGTTTCTGTGCATTCAGTTGGCACCGGTCAGTCTCTGTGTTGGTCCAAGTCGACTATTAAATTCGGGGCGCGAAGGCGTACCGCGGAGCGCGAAGCAATGTTTTCAGGGGTATCGTTCGCGGGATCTATCGGCGCGTTGTCGGCGGCGCTGCCTGTGGCCAACGAAGAAACAACAAAACACCGTCAGTACCACATGATTTCCTATCGTGAGATCTGCTGCTGCGGAAGGGCCCGCGCAAACCCGCCCAACGGTCGGGCGCGGGTGGAAAACGTGCAACTCACCACTACCACCATTCCCACCAAATGTCGGCCGTTTTTTAATGGTGCCTAGCACCTTGTTCATGCTAAAGCCCGCCATTTCGGTCGGTGCGACAGCTCGAAGCGCGGGAGCGCAAGGCCGTATATGTTGCGGAGTCTCAAGGGTCCAGGGATGCGGAGCAACGGAAACTGTGCGAGTTGTCGGGGAGCGAGTCAGAAACCGAAGAATGGGGTCCTTGTTTGGCTAAATATCAAATCTCGTCGAAACGTCGTTGTCTGGGTTTTGACTGTGGCGGATCCTTTGGAAATGTGTGGTTGATGGTTCTTGTGCTTGGGTCTTATTACCGCCGGGGGTGCTTAGCCTGCCGCGTTCCGCGTCCCGCCTCTTCTCCAAGCGCTCAACCTCCTCCTAGGCAGCAAGGGTCTTCATCAAATTACACTTGGATTGGCCCCGTTTTCGCTGCAACGTCAAACCCGCGGGGTTCAAATCACCAGCAATTATTTCAACGAGCGACTGGATATCAGAAGCCAGCCGCGGTAACAGCACTTTTGCAAAAGTCTCTGCGCTGAGCCACCCTGCTGTGGTGGCCGTTGCCACAAAGGTTTGTGTCGAGAAGGCCGGACGCGCGGACCGAACTAAACCAAGAGGTGATCCTCTTGGTGGGCAGCTCTAAAAAACGAGGGGTTGTTGCACATCACCGCCCAGACTCTTGGAGCAGAAGATGGTTCGACGATGGTTGGCACGCGAGAAAAAGAGCCTCTTCGGCGGGGTCTAAAGTTGTTGCACAGCCTCGTTGTCGCCGCCAGGACGCGCAAGCACAAGTCATCTTGGGCAAAAATCAATGATCACTTACACAGAAGTCTCAATTCGGTTTCTGAGCCGGCTGGTCTAGACAACGGAAACCTAAGACATAGGCTGCCTCAACGGCAGCACCAGCGAATGGGCCGCGCTTTGGACCGTTACGGAGCGGTGATAAGATAAGCCCCGCAGTCCGGAGTTGACGATGATCCACCTCTGTGGGACAATGGGGAAGGTGATCACAGGGTGTGGGACATGTTCTTAAAACAACCACCTTTCGGAACCTGGAATATTAGAGGACATACACAGCCTCAAAGGGAGTTTATACCGTAACTACACGAGGGTTATATCATTACGTCTTAACATCTCATTCCTCCTCGTCCATGAGAACATCTTCTACCACAAGATTCCCCCCGCGGCCCATTTTCTCTCCAACGGTCGCGGATATGCTCGGCTCAAATGTCTCTCGCGGCATGACAGATGCGATCCGGAACCCATACTTGTGTTCGTAGCCATCGGGCTTGCTCGTGGATCCCCCGCTGGGCCGATCCTGTAGGAGATCGTAGCATTCCACAAAAGCGTAGAGCTCCTCCAATGTCGTGTCCTTAGTAAACCTCCGAATCACTCGGCCCGCTCCAGACGAAGCAGGCATGTTGACGGCCAGGCGGACAACATCCTCTGCCCCGGCGTCGGGCTCCGGGAGGACGGTCGTTGCTCGCCATTCCCTCCACCTCTGCCGCTGTTCCTGAAGCTGTGCAGCGGCCTCTGCTTCCTCTAGAGCGCGCTTCTCGGCAGCGGCCGCGGCGGCCGCGGCCTCCCGCTTTTGGCGGGCCCTCTCCCGGTCCACGGCCAGAGACCGCTCATACGCCGAGTCCTGCTGAGACCGAAGGTTACGAGCCATCTCCTGTGCGGCTCTCTCGGACCGGGCACCGTTCAGGTCAGGGCCATATCTCGTGATAGCGCCCTGGATGCCGGCAAGGTACGACTCCGGCGTCATCGGCCCGACGAGTCGCTTCACAATGCCCATGCGCGTGCTCCCTTCCTTGGGAGTGAGGCACACCACACACGAAAAGGGGTACTTGACACAGCTGTACTCCCGAGCGACCTGATATGCCTCCGAATCGAGCACATTTCCTCCCCATACAATGACATTGTTGGATGGGTCGTTAATGAAGCTCACGACCTCGGGCGAGAGAAGGGTTTCCCGGACAAAAGACTCGGTGTCGTCGTGCTCGGGGGATAGCAAAACAGTCAAGAGGAACTTTAGGTCCTTCTTTGCTGCGTCTAACGCTTGGGCATGGCCGTCCTCAAAAAATGGGAGGCTACATTCCCCGTACTCCTCCTCAAAATCACGCCGAAATCTTTGAGCGGTCTCCTTCGGAAGAGTCACCCTTCTCCCGTTGGTCTGCCTTAACCCTTTGGAAAGGGAGGATGCGACGAATCCAGGCCGCAATGATTGTGGTAAGAACGTCAAGAAGTACAAAATCGACCGGAAGACCCCGGCCAAGAGCTTGTACCCGACTCGAAACGGCGCTAAAAGCAAGGAGATAAGAAGTGGTGTGCGGTATAGCGCCGATGGTTGCGGTACGACGCGGGGGGCTGGTTCGGTTTGCGGTCGTCGTGTCGGTGGGAGAAAAGCGTCGTCAATCAGGGCCTCTTGCAAATTCTCGTGCCGTGCGGTTGCTCGCGGGATACTATCGTGTGCGGCCTGGGCTTGCGCAACGACATCGGGGCCTTCGCCATCGAAGAACTTGGCAATGGCAAACTGCGCGGCTGTTAGCCTTCCCACCTAGCACGTCATTCTGGTATGAGGTGACTGACTTGTACGTTCCATTGCGACCGTTGAAGAAGAGGAATGGCGTCCCCGATCTCCTGGCCCGTAACGTCGGTGTACTGCTGGAGCGCTTCCTGCTGGCTCGCAGAGAGGCTGCCAAGATCCAGCCCGTCCTGGGCCGCCATCGTCGCTGTCCCGAGGGGGCTCTGCCCGTGCTCTCAACGATCAAGCGAAGTCTGCTGGGACAAAAAGCGAATCATGGATGGAACAGTGTGAAATTGAGGGGTGGTAAGATCCCAGGCCCGATTACAAGCACCTAAATTTACGAAAGACGCTCTAGCGTCCAGTAAACGCGGCCGGCACTGCGCACCGTCGCACGGCTGTGACACAGCTGCAGCGCTAGGTGCAACGGTGCTCTCCCAATCGCCGTATTGGGTTAAGAAAAGGAGGATCCGTCTTCTGAGAAGTAATCAATTCGTCGGCGTCGCGATATAATGCCGACAAGAAGATGGTGAGGTAACGTAGTCGGAATGGCGTGGTTCTGCGTGTATTCTATTGTCTGTGGGACGTCAACGGAAGAGTGGCCAGATGAACTTTGGTCTTCAAAATGAGGTCAGCATGCAGGGGTGTTTGGGCGAGATAGCGATGCAAATAAACCGTTGTGAGCTCCCAGGCCCCCAGAGACCCCGTTTTTGCAATAACTATCATTTACACGTAACGAATCGTATGGTCCGAGCTTCTCGAGGCTAATGGGAAGCGGGTCCTCGCCGGAGGGGCAGTCACCCCCACACCAATGAACGTGGCCGCGCTGCTTCTTCCCCTTTGACGCTCTGCTGCGCCTGCACTGCGCCCACAACTTCCTTGGACTGCCCGCCGACACGCTTGGCTCGGCGGCGATCCTCCCTCACAACACCGATTTCGAACACGCTGCTCCCATTCCCGCCGTCACCCCCGGCGCCCTTTTTGTTATCACCGTCGCGGCCTCTCTATCGTTTGGCCGCCTCCATTGGCTCCTCCTGACGCAATTGCCGTCGCCCGCTCTCGTGCTCTGCTCGCATGCCGTTTTCTATGGGTGCCTTATCGCCCATTCGATCGAAACATGGGAGAATTCGTTCGTCCACATGTGAGGACCGCCTCTTGCGCATTGCCCCTTTCTAGGTGTTATGGTCATTGCTTTTGTCCCGATGCTGATGCTGGCCACACCGTTAGATATCGTAGAATTGGTTCCGGCGCTGTCTCCGTGTCCTTGAACCGACTGAATTGCTCCACCATGGCCACGACGCGATATCCCACGAACGACCTGCGGCGCCAGGTCGGCTCCCCGAGATCAAAAGCACGAGGTTGGTCATACCGGGTTCCATTGGTGCTTTTCCTCTGTTGACATCCATACGCAGAGAATAAAGATACACTCTGTCGCAACATCCTTATTTACGGCAACTGCCGGTACGAGGACCAGGGATGCACTTTCAACCATGACCAGAACAAAACCGCTTCCCCTCAATCAGATTTGTAAGTTGGGGCGGCACACCCCTGTCCCACCATTCATCAATGGTTCCGCTTGTTTGACCGTTCCCTATCCAGCACGAAGAAGACATTCAATGTCGACTCACCAGCTTTCACCCCCTCAGTTGCGCCACAGGCTGCCGCAAAGAAGACGACTCTTTCATCACAAGCTGCCAATGCGGCTCCATTCACCCCGCGTGGGGTGGGCAGTAAGTTCACCGCGCCCTATACTGGCCCGCTGTATCTAATGTCTGTTGCACAGCAAGCCTCCAACCGAGCTCTGAGGCCTCCGTGTTCAACCCAGCAGCGATCAGAGAGTTTACCCCTCAGAATTATGAGATCGGAAACACCGTAATGTTTCTCCCTTGAGTCAGCACAAAACACATACTAAGACGAACAACAGACCTCGAACGGGGTACCGCAAGAGAACGGCATCTACAATGACCCCTTCACCTCGATGAGTTCCATGAACTCCGCCTTGCCATCGGCCGCACAATACAACCTCTATGCCTCCGACCACAATACCCTCGCAAGCCCTGGGGCACAGTTCTACCCACAGCATGGGGCATTCCCTACCGGGCCTCTACAGCCGCCCAACTACCATTTGTACCAGCCATTTGATAGCTACCGACAAGAGCTGCAACCCTGGCAGCGCGCAACCTACGACTTCTTCATGCCAGCCAAGATGAGAGAGGAACTGCAAAAAAAGATGTTCGCCACTCAACAAGTGATGCCAAGTGAGTCCCCCCACATGTTTGCTAACCTCGCTCGTTTGCCCAGACTAACCATGTCAAGACTCGGGCTTGCCCCAGTTGGAACGGTGGCACTCCCTATTACCTTTGGACACCAATAACAGGAAGAATACTGCATCTTTTGGTTACCCAAGTTGGGTATACAAGGCCCAAAACAGTCGAACGGGGAGACATTACGCCCTCAGGAGACTCGAAGGTACACACCTAGCTCTGCAAGCCCATTGATAGGCACCGGCTCAATGACTAACCATCGCGCTGCAGGCTACCGGTTGACTAATGAGAAGGCCATCCTGAGCGTGATGAAGGAATGGAAGAAAATCAAAAATGCCAATATCGTAACCGTCCATGAAGCGTTCACCACCAGGGAGTTCGGCGACAGCTCGTTAATTTTTGCGTACGACTATCACCCCCTATCCAAAACGTTACAGGAACATCATCTCCAGGCCGCCCACGGAAACCGGTACCGGGCGCCCAATGCCGTGCCCGAGACAACCCTCTGGGGGTACATTTGCCAGATCACGAATGCGCTCAAGACTATCCACTCAAACAAGTTGGCGGCCCGCTGTCTTGAGCCAAGCAAAATCATTCTTTCAGACACCAACCGTATCAGGCTTTCGGCCTGTTCTATTCTGGACGTTGTGCAATTTGAAAGTAACACAAGGCCGGTCCAAGAGTTGCAACAAGAGGATCTCGTCAAATTTGGCAAGCTCGTTCTCTCACTGGCCACTAACTCCCCGCCAGCCCATTTGAACAACATCCAGGTCGCCCTTGACTCCATTGCCAACAAGTACACGGCGAATTTCAAAGATGCCGTTGCCTGGCTCATCGCGCCACCAAACCCTGGCGAATCCAAAAGCATTGAGAACTTCATCAGTGGCATCGCAACGCACATGACGAGCTTTTTCGACCTATCCCTCCAGGACAACGACGAGAAACAGTTCCATCTGGCCCGGGAACTGGAGAACGGCCGTGTGGCACGTACCATGATGAAGCTCATGACCATAGTTGAGCGAGGCGAGCTCGGTGGAGTCCAAGGATGGTCTGAAACCGGTGACCGATACCAGCTCAAGCTCTTCCGCGACTACGTTTTCCACAGAGTGGAAGCCGACGGTAAACCCAACCTTTCCATGGGCCATATGTTGAGCTGCCTGAGCAAGCTTGACGCGGCTATTGAGGAAATGGTGGTCCTGACCAGCCGTGACAATGAAACGGTCTTCGTCCTCACCTATCGGGAACTCAAGCAGATGTTTGATCGCGCGTTTAATGAACTCGTGAAGCACAGCAAGACCGGCGCCCCTGGGGCGAACAACTAGGCGGTGAAACCACCGATAGCGTCGGAACCGCCTAACTCTAGTGTGAAGAGCACTCGACCAATTCCTCCTTCGACAACCTTTCAGCCGCCAACCCCATCTGCCCCAACCACCCGCCTACCAGCCCACTTCTCGTCCAATATAAGTCATAATAGGGGACGTTCAGCGAACAGTATTATGTCAACCCTCCCCGAAGCAGTGTCCCCGAACCCCACAGCCGTTCAGGGGGGATTCACGTTTCCAAGGTCTCGGCGAACGAAAACGGCTCAGATCGGGACCCAACCGACGAATCCCGCTCCACCCAATCCTTCGACAGATATGGCTCGTGTTGGGGTTCGTTCTCCCAGCCCAGCCCCGCGTCATAGCCCTGTGACCCTTCTTGGAGGGTGTACTCCTCCAGGGTTTTCCCGGCGAAGCTCGCCCCGGGCAGCATTAACTGGACTGGAATCGGCTACAACTACCCCCATTCTACCAAATACTCAATGGCCGTTTTACAACGGCTCTCCGGATCCAGAATTAGAAAAACAAAAAATGATAGGCGCTTCTAGAATCGAGTTGTTCGGACCCATTTCTGGCGAACTAGGTGCTGGTGTGGAGGAAAATGGAGCGTCAATCCCCGCACCGGCGGTGGAGTGCCCAGCTATGAGCGAACCATCAAATTCGAGCTCCACGAGAAGTGATTACGCCTTGGGCGAAGCGGGAAAGCCTGAATCCACAACTGATGGGGCGTCTGCGGAAACCGACACCTCTGGGGATAACCAGCCAAGATCCGTATCAAAAGCTTCCTTTCCGAGCAAAATCGTCCCAGCTTTACCTGATCTGTGCAAATTGTTCCCGCCAGACGGCATCCCTCCACGACCCAAGGGAGGATCAGTCACATCGCAATCCGGTAGAGCAACAGCTGTTACATCTCCAAGGTTATTGAAATGGCTAGACGAGCAAGCCCAGGTTTAAAAGTCGAGTCCAGCAGAATTAATGAATGCGGTAGTTGGGGGTTTGAGGAGAGCACGCCGCGAATTATATATGATATGGGGATGTCGGGAAGAGTGGCTGTGGGATTCGACCGGCTATTTCGCTTGCCGAACATACACCGTGAGCTGGAGGAAAGGAGCCGGTGGCGGAGGTGGAACAAATGTGTTAGGATGGGCTTGCAATTGAATAAAATTTGCCCAAAACGTTAGGACGGTTAGCGAACCCAAGCAGGAGTGAGCGGACATGATTATATCGAGCGGTCTCCCTTTTTTTTGAGCTAGTCGTTTGGCAGCCGCAGAACAAGAACAAAAACGACAGATTTAACCTTTTATTTCCCCTTCGTTGGTTTACCTTTACTCTGCTCTCTGCTGAACATTCAAAAGGTAATATTCCGGGGGTTGTCATTGCCCTGGATCACCCAAGCATAATGCATTTGACGACCTCCCCAACTCGTCCCCTTCCCTAGTAATGGTTGAGGTAGGAGGAAATTTCTTTCCTTCGGTTCCAAGCTTCGTCTCCGCCGTCCTTGTCACCATCCATTTCTGCCACATTCCTAAAGAGAGAGAAACCGACCCGTGATCCTTTGAACTGTTTAGGTCAGGCCATTCGAGGTCTCTCTCCCATCATGGGAGTGCTTGTCCACCCGAGACTGACTCCTCATCCATGGACCATTTAACTGCCAAGTGGCAGCCTTCATTCCTCTTCCGCTTGAAGGAATGGATTCGCTATCACCTCGCTCCCATCGACGGGGCTGAGTACCACTAGCAGTGTGCCGCGTACCACTACGAGCCCAAGAGCTCTCGTCACCTCGTTGCCTTCGTCATCTATTGGTGAGGACCGTCAGCCATTGCTCCTTTATTGAGAAAGCGAATTGTGTTTGTGTGGCGGTGGGGGGGTTAAGTTAACACCCGGCCCTGGAATCAGGTCACAGACGTACCTCTCAACACCTCCTCAACCTCATCCAAGACCAAGTTCATCAACGCATCATACCCCTTCAACGTCCCGGTCGCTAATCACTTTCGTCAGCCCCTGCCATACATCCTTAACCGTACCAAAATAACCGGGACCAAAAGTAAAACCAACCTTCCCGACCACCGTTAAACTTGACTGTAATCCGCTTGTCCATGTATTTCTTGAGATCCAGAATGTTCTCCTTCTTCGGCCTCTCCTTGTCCTGGCCCTGCCCGCCTTGACCAGCACCGCCACCTCCACGGCCGCCTCCACGTCCACCGCGTCCGCCCCTTGGGCCGCCGTGCCCGCCTCGATGGTGGGGTCGGTCTGCCATTTTGTGGTTGTTTTCGAAGAGGTGGTGGGTGGATGCGTTCAGGTCTTCTGTTTGCGGGAACGGGGCGGTCAAATTATTTGAGGTTACGGTCGACCGAGCAGTTGTGGAATTGCCGCTCGAGATTTTCGGGCAGAATTATCTTCTTCTGTCTTGCGGCAGTGTCGGGAGTTGTGATGAAGGTTGAATCAACACCAGCCCGAAATCTTAGAGTTGGCGGCAGACGACCATGAAGAACCCCACGATTGTGGAGCCATTCTTGGCAAGCGTGGTTGTGGTGGGGTCGGGTCGGGATGTGGTCTGTGCTGTGCCAAGCTTTTCCTTTCCGAGCTCGTGGACCCGTCCGTTTCGCGCGCTTCCACCCCTGCCTTGCCGCCCTTCGATGCAGGGGGTTGTTTTTGTTTGGTCCCAAAACACCAAGTGGTCCGTGCTCCTCCATAACTGACCTCAGCGCTTGTCACAATTCACGCCTCGGTCAAGCACCGTGCTGAGACTGGTGATAACAGTTCACGTTTGGATAGGTGGTGAAGTGAGGGAGTGACTGGTGAGATATTAGGCTGCAAAAGCTCTCGAGGAGGCGCCACCGGCGCAATTTGCACTTCAAGCTTCGAGGGTAGCGCCGACAATCTCGTCCGGTTCGTCTCATCCAGCTGGTCTTGAGAGATTAAATACTCGGTAGGAGTTGTTGTTTGTGATGCTCCAAGTCTTCAACATCTTATAGAGTGAGATTTGCTTTGCCCCAAGGCGGACAACCACTTTCGAATAGGTTCTCTCTCCCCTTTTGCTCAGAATATTGAGTCAAAGCTCAAGATTCGGTTTGAGCACAAGGTTTGGAAGCTCAACAGTGCATCGAGATATGGCTGAGTCTGCCTCCATGGAGACTTCGCATTGGTATATCTGAAATTGTGGTCAAAATTTATCAGAGTCGGCCACTGTGCTTCCGAGCGTCTCGACAGTATCACGAGACGTATGTCTGAGACAAGGGACGAGTACCATAGCATTCCACACACGTGGAATTTCTCAGGTCAAATCCTACTTGAGACTTATAGGCCTGGTTAGAAAGGCTATCCCGGTGAGTCGGTTGCGATGCATCAGATATCACTTCACAAGACGCTGCATAAAAACTGCGGTGGAACCGCGAGACATCTTCGATATTAGCTTTGCAAACAGCAGCGAGTGTGATTTCGGCCGCAAACTCGCGAGTTTTTGACGCTTTACATGCTGCCTCTATGTCATTTTCCTCCTTTCTTAACCCTACTCACGATAGTTCTGAGGCAAGTTAATTCACAAAAGCCGTGAAATTGTGCGGTCTTAACACACAGAACCGAATGTATCTGAGATGAAGTATTCTGTACAAGTCTATCTGCTGAATATGCTTTGTCCACGTACTCTATACCAATGAACGACAAAGATCAGCTGCGCCTGACAAATTGATGTTACTTACGGTTAATCAAGAGACTACTTTCTCGCTGTTGCCTACATGGTTTACAGGAGGATATCCACAACCTTTGGCCCTTGTGTTAATGGAATTTGCGATGACTGTGGAATATTGACTTGAATACGGAAATTCTAGTATCTTTTACGGAAACCCAGAGCCGAACCGGGACGCCTTGGAAAGAGATTTATGGCTGAACTTAGGACTTAGGACTTATGAACTTCACAGCAACGCCCTAGGTAGTCAAGTAGCCAAGATCCTGCACTCCATGATAATTGCAGTGACCCAACGGGGGAACGGCCCCGCAGTTCCGAGCATCGTTCCTCATCAAGTGGTGAGCTCAAAGTCTAGCATCAACACAGCGCACTCCTAGTTGCCATACTCAGAACCTAACTAGCGATTGCGAGTTTCCGTGGGGATTTTCCGACGAAGTCACACGATATGCATTGCCCCTGCACGATTTTGACCAGCCAGTTTATGTCGCCGGGGTAGGACATGCAGGGTGTGTTGAAGATCGCAGTCCTCCAAAAACCGGGGGGGAGGGGGACTTGGGAGCAGAACTGAAGAAACAAGGAGAGAGTTTTGCAGTGTATCTGATTGCCCACCGTCTGAACGACGAGATGTGCTCTAGTATCAAAAGTGATGCGAGTGACACCTCAGTGCTACATTATGTGGCCGGGGGGTGAGGGGAGATCACCGACAAAAGTTGATGGTGGAGTGACAAATGGTGACTTGAAAGGAACGTGGTCATCGGATGGGTTCTGCGGGCTGTCCATTTCGTTCTCAAAGGTGACTCGCAAACCGGATCGAGGGGTTGATGCTGATGCGGACCTTTCTCGACGGTAGGTTGTTGCGCTCTGGGGCTAGCCGGTCTGGGTGGATTGCTGCCTTCTCCAGCTTCCCCCTCTCCCCCCTCATCCTCACCAAACAAGAAAATCCTCCACCTCTGGTCCAACCCTACTATGGTACGCTCTCTCACCTCCATAATACAAGAAGGCGCATGCCCATGGTCTCCCACAAAGCAGGCATGTTTCTGCTGCTGACTCCTCCTCACAAACAGAGGCTGAACTCATTGGCTGTCAAAAGATGTGTCGTCGTGTGAGACCTGTGGTAACACATCCTTATTTGGCAATTTGCAATCGGATCGCCCGTGAGCCCCAAACCTCGACCGACATCACACACGTGTCGTCCCGCCAAAACAGCTAGCATCCGGCCTCATTTTGCACACAACCTGTTGCTTCAGACTTAACTAGAGTTCCCCGCAGCCTGCCCGTTTCCTGAATCTTCGAAAGACTGGTTTTGGAGGAAGTTGCGACACAAGATGGAGACTCTGGGCCTGAGAGGCAAGATGGACAGAAATGAAGTTTGATGCATCGCCATGATGGTCTGGTCATCTGGGACCAAAAAACCACGGATCTCGCAGTGGGTGTTAGTTCGAGTTGGGCCACCCTCATTGATGCAAGCAAAAGTGTGGCGGAAGGGGGTCATGTTGGCCATCTCGGTAGCAAGCCCATCAGCTGTTGGTACATGAACCCCCATTTCCCTCTCCTCGTTCTTGGAGCTGCATAGTAGACAGTGATTCCGATACATCGCAACTCGCAAGCGCCGCCATGCCTGAGGTTGCGGAGTGCGAACTGCAAAGGGGGATGGAGGATGGATGATGGAATGGGGGCGGCCCGTTCATTCACCCCCTAACCCCCATCATCCGGCCCTTCTTTAAATACGGCGCAGGTAGCCCACCCCCCCTGCGCGCATCTTCCCGTCCAACTTTCCCTTTCTCCTTCTCCGGGCTCTCTCTCTCCGCAGTGTTCCGCACCGGCCGCTCACACCACAATAATACACACACACAGCTTCAACCCCCCACCCCTGTCCACCTGGCCCTCCGGCCATTCACGTCTTATTACTTTCTATTGTGGGTATTGTTCCTGCAGCCATTGCAAACTCCGCACACGTCGCCATTCTGACGCGTGCCTTACAATTGATTCTCCCGCCCTGTGTTTTTCAACATTTGTCTTTTACTCCCACAATAACTTCTCCCACGGCGATATCAGTGTCACTGCGGGCCTCTTGCGAGCTGATATAATCTTCATTTCTTCGCAGCTCTCACTCTTTTCCTCCCCCTTTACTCACTTTTTGTTGCATCTGCATCTGCATCTGCATCTGGTTGCATCTGTGGCGCGTCCATCTCCCAGAGTTCGCATTCTCCGTTCGGGCACAGCCGCTTTCACCCAGCCGGTTCACCAGCCGCTGACCCGCTTATCCACAAGCACGCGTTCGTTCGCATTCCTGACCCGCGGGCGATCTTCCCTTCACAAACTTCCTCCTCAACTTTACCTCACCTAAACTCTCCACCTCAACCCACCTATTTCACCCACAGCTACCACAGCTACAACAATGGCGGCTGTCGACGCGGCACCCGCCATGGCCGCCCTCGACTCGCTGCTTTGCGGGTCCAGCTTCTCCAGCGCCGATGCGACGGACGTGTCCTCGAATTCCGTGTCCGTCAGCTCAACGCCCCCAACCACCGTTTCCCCTGACAGCATGTCGCTGGCCTCCGACTCGGATTTGTCGAAACGCGAGACTGTCACCGCGTCCAGCATCGAGGCCGTGGTGACGGTAACAGAGACCACCGAGATCGAGATCGAATCGCCACAACAAGAATCCGGCCGACAAAGTCCGGTAGCAGGCGACGCCATTGTCGTCGCAGAACCCCCGTCGTCCACTGAGCCTTCGCCAGTCAGCCGCCCGCGCCGCGCACGATCTAGTTTGCCGGTATATAACCTTTCCAAATTGGCGGGCACCGACGTACATAGCAAGCGGAAGTCAAAGGGAGACACCGCGCAAGCGAAGCGACGCAGCACTGGTTCGGACGACACAGCGGCTAATCGCGACAATTCTATCGTGGGCGACTCGATCGACGCGTTGGCCAAGGGCGATGCTCGCTCCACGACAAAGGCGGACGCGTCTCGCAGGGAGCGATCAACCACCGCCCCCAATACGCCGAGGAGCGCGCGAATCGCCAAAAAGGCCGCCGTCAGTCCAGCACCGGCCCATTTGACGCGTCGGGCAACGCGTCTTTCCGGCGCTGCTACCGAAGATCTTGCAACCAAATTGTCGGCGCTCAGCAAGCGGGGCAAGAAGGCGGTGGAAAAGGAAATTAGTGGCTTGTCTCGCGAGCTCTTGCGACTTAGGGACACAAATGAGTTCGCCCATATCGACACGCGTCCGGTCCGGTACACGGTCTGGAGCAATGGCAAATACATCGATATCGACCCTTCTCAGGAGACCCCCGCATCAGAGCCGCCGCGGAAGAAGGCCAAGGTTGAAGCAAAAAAAGCCGCGGAGGAGGAGAAATCGGTGGAAGAGAAGCAAGAGAGCGCCCCGCAACCGCCGAAGAAGCGCACAAAGAAGTGGCTAGAAAAGGGTCTCTACGCCGGTCAAGATGCGCCCACCGATGTTTTGAAGGGATTCACCCCGCAGGAGAAGAAGAAGATCGCTTCAAACCCGGAACTCATGCCGAGCGGCAAGCCCAACAAGGCCCTGCCCCTTCCCATGTACAACGGCTTGCGCATTCTTCTCAACGAGCGCGATTTCAAGCTTCCCTTCGATGTCTGCAACCCCCTCCCCCCTGGACAACCAAAGCCCACTGCATACCGCACCATGACCAAGAGTGAGTACCTCGGATAGAATGCGCCCGGACTACATTCCCACTAACACTACTTCCAGACCGCTTCGTAGGGGATGCCGCTTCATACTGGAAGAAAACCCCCCACTTTGGGGATTCGTCCACATGCGTTTGCCGTGCTGAAGACGGCTGCGACGAGGACTGCCAGAATCGCATCATGCTGTATGAGTGCGACGACACCAATTGCAACGTCGGCAAAGACCTCTGCAAAAACCGCGCCTTCCAGGACCTCCAGGAGCGCACGAAGAAGGGAGGTCGGTATCGCGTGGGAGTCGAGGTCTACAAGACGTCCGACCGCGGGTATGGCGTCCGTAGCAACCGCTGCTTTGAGGCGAATCAAATCATCATGGAGTACACGGGTGAGATCATCACCGAGGCCGAGTGCGAACGCCGTATGAATGAGGTCTACAAGGACAATGAGGTGAGTCCCCTTTTCGCCCGGTTTTTATGCGTACTCAGGGAGATTCATCGGCTAATCTCACCGCAGTGCTACTATCTTATGTCCTTTGACCAAAACATGATAATCGACGCGACCACGGGCAGCATCGCTCGCTTCGTCAACCACTCGTGTTCGCCCAACTGCCGCATGATCAAGTGGATTGTTTCCGGCCAACCTCGCATGGCCCTCTTCGCCGGTGATCGCCCGATCATGACTGGCGAAGAACTCACCTACGACTACAACTTTGACCCCTTCTCAGCTAAGAACGTGCAGAAGTGTCTATGTGGTAGTCCCAACTGCCGGGGCGTGTTGGGTCCCAAGCCCAAGGAAGTGAAGGTGCCGAAGCCGGCCAAGGAGGAAAAAAAGAAGAAAGTCGTCAAGAAGACTTCGAAGAAGATCTCGGCCAAAATATCGGCTAAGGGCCTGGTCAAGAATTCTTCGGTCAAGGCTTCCGTGAAAAAGGTGCTGAAGGCGACGACGGTGAAGGCATCAACCAAGGCGTCGGCAAAGGCGCCAGCAAAGACACCGGCTAAAGCAGCGCCCAAGCGTAAACTCCAAGATGCTTTCGAGTTTGACGGCGACGATGACGAGGACACTCCTGCAACCAAGAAGCAAAAGGCGGCAAATGGCCTCAAGAAAACCCTCTCCTCCGCGACCATTAAGGTGGCCAAGGGCGCGAAGGATGTCGCAAAGGGCGCGTCTAAGGGCGTCACGTCAATTAAGAAAAGCGTTGCCAGCAGCATCTCGGTGGCCGCACAGAAGAAGACCACCGGCTCTTCATCTTCATCATCCAAGGCCAAGACCAAAGCGACAACGACCACCAAAACGAAGACGACCAAAACCACCAAGGCCACTGCCACCATCAAGCGTGCCATGAAAAGCGGCGTCACCCCGAAAACCATCGCCAAGAAGCCGGCCAAGTCCATCGCCGCGGCCAAGACGAAAGCGATTGCGGTTTCTCGCAGCCCGAGCCTGACCATCGTCGCGGCGGGCGTCACTCCCGAGTCCAGCTCTGCGTCTACCCCCAGTGCAAAAGAGAAGAAGTCTGCTTCCGTTTCAACACCCGCGTCTGCTACTGCTAAGCGCGACCTGCCGAAGCTCACCATCTCGGGCGGCAAGACCTCGTCTCGCAAGGTGACGCCCTCGCGCAAGGCGTTAGAGGCCGGGTTGGCGACGGGGAGCCCGATGTTGGCAAGGGCTGCTGCCGCGGCTCTGACAGCTTCGGGATCTCCTGCGAAGGCGAGTCCCAAGATCAAGCTTGTTGGCCGCGCCTAGTAGGATAGGTGGTGGTACAAGTGATACCAGTGTACGAAATGGTTTGTCGAAAGGTGGGACCGAAAGGAATAACATGGGGCATAAGGAGAGTTAGAGGGAAGAGGTGCTCAAGGTGGCGTTTGACTTGAGGCGTTTTATGGACGTTTGAAATGGTTCCGTCTGGCTTGGTACTCCGCTGCATCTGTTACCGCATGGAATGGGACGACGGGAAACGGACGTGTCTCTAGCAGGGCTGCACTTGCAGAACCTTCCGAGGTTTGCTCTCCCGTCGAAACATATTTGTCGGGTTCTACTCCGATTTGGAACCACATAAGAGGGGGCCACGAAACGGGCGACGCGACGGGACGGGATGAAGCACAGGTCTGCTCAAAATCGGGTTTCTTTCCATTTCTACTTATTTTTATTTCGCTCGAGTTTCTCTATTTATTCTTTTTCCCTCTTTAACTGTTCGCTCATAAATGCCGGCGATGTGGCGCTGGAAGCGGGAGCATACACAGGGCTGGCTGATGGGGCATATATGGGGGCATATGAAGGGAACGGGGGGACCGGACCGTGTAATGGAGGTATCCATCTCGCTGAGGCAATAGTGGGAGGCGTCGGTCTTGCCCAAATGGAGTTCAACATTCATGCTAACATGCACGTAACACAAGGCCAGAGAGATAGACAGACCTTAATGGGTTGAACCCAGAGAAGAAAAGAAAGATGATTGTTACTATTACTTGTGCTTGCTTTCTTTTTGGGGGGGCTCTTGTTATTCACTTGCCGATATTGTGACATGATGGTTTTTGTGTCGCAACTCGCTCAACCGCTTGTCTTTCTCGACTGCGCCTTTCCTTCAACAGCCAGGCTCGTGCTTTGCCATGTGTGGTACCACCACTCACATGTTTGTGGAGAGAAAGAAGAAAAAAACGACCGAGAGGAATTATCGCTGGGCAGTGCTGATGGATTCCAGGGCGAGTGCAATATAGTCATGCGCACTTGCGGCGTGGCCGTGGCTCGGTGTTGTGTTGAATCTAAACAATACAGAGTAAACGGCCCGGAACGGAAACATACACACAAACAAAAGAACAGGGGGCAGTGATTGAAACACAAAAGATGAGATTAGTATTTTCAAGGAAGATACGGGTAATATGTACGGATAATCTGCCGGCGTGGTCTGTTTTGAATGAATGTTGGCTCGGTGTCGAAGAGAGAAAGGCTGATAATGAACAAACAGGTTTGCTGCGGACTTGCGAATGCCCTCACCGAGCGAAAGTGGGGTTTATTAGAGGGGCTTGGGTGTTTGTGGCACATGCTGTGCTGGCGCCGTGTCGGGGGATTCAGGCCCAATGCCTGGTTGATTGACTGATTGATGCCACGGAATCTCCCTTCTTTCTATTTCGTTCACTTTCTCACGATTTGCCCTTTGGGCTTGCCTTCTTTTTTTTCGTCGTCGTTGTTGTTGTTTTTTGTTGACGAACAGCGTTGCCCAACAGGATTCAAACCACTCATGTGTTTGACCATGTGGGGCCGCTCCGGGCTGTGCGACCCCTCCGCCCGGTGCTTTCGGAGACAACGGACCGGGCGGAGGCCACGAGACAGGGCGGAGCGGTCTGTTGTGGGGATAGGTAAAATACCGTAACTGTCTAAATTACCTCCCAAACCGAACACAATGTGGGGGTAACATAACCCCGCTCCCCCGATATACCGATGTGTAAGTGTGTTGCCAGGGGGGATAGCCATTGTGATCCACTACCCTCACTGCCTACCTTGAAATCAGGCGACGAGACTCAAATATTTGTGTTTGAAAACTCGCTTAAAGGAGTTAGATGGCCTAGATGGGGCTAGAGATTTTAGATTTTCAGTTCTGGGTCCAAAAGAGTAAGGCGTACGCGTCTCGCGGTCGCCCGATCCACCTTGAGTCAAGGCGGCCGTTAGCAGGAAGAGATCGAGAATCCAAACGTAGTTCGCGGCCTATGAGGAAAATTAACGCTCATGTTGAAGAAATATCATACTTAGAGCCCACCGAGGTTGAATTGGGTCCCTAGGTGAATATTGTCCTAGGTAATGTCCAATTACAGCAACGTAAGAGATCCCGGAGAGGTACAGTTAACCAGGGGCTTCGCCTCCTCGATTCGGTGCGACATTCTTGTGACACCATGGACGTTGACTCAACATTGGTTTCGGTGGCGTTTAAGGCTTTTAAGTAGCTCGCGCTTAAGGGTACAGGAAACGGTGACCCAACCGGGGTCATCGATTAGCATTCGGCTGTCCTATGATGACATGTATGCAAGCAAATCACAGGACGAGATCTAGTAATTCAAGGTGTCGACAGTTGGAATTGAAGAAAAGCTTATTTTGAGAAAAGGAAGGAAAACAAATTAATTCTGAAGTCTATGAGACATCCGCCAAATCGAGCCCTATCTATAAAATGAATAATGAATAAATGGAAAAAATAAGAGCAAAATACACAACGAACCCGCGCCGATGTTGCCAATATCCAATCTAACCAAGAGTGGCCCGCAACTCATGCCCATCTAGATATAATAGCGCCGACAAGAAACAAAGCTGAAAACCGCAAGCCGAAGCCTACATGCTACACAGCTCCTTCTCTATGCCACCCGAGCGCCGCCTGTGAAAAACCCAACCTCTGAACCCCCCAGTAAAATGCAGGAGAAGCTTCAACGCCAAACAACCAGTCTAAGTGCGAGAAAGAAGCCACCCATGCCGCTTCGCCTTATACCCCGAACATCCGGAAAAGTAAGTGCTGACGCAGGTTGTTTAGCGGCCATGGATGAAAGGAACTCTCTTTATATCGCAGCAGGGGCAGCGCATGTGGGTGCAGTTCGGGCAAGCGTCGTGAATGTCGAGGCTCCAAGGACCATCATGGCAGTTGTCCTGTGTTTCATATTAGTATAGCCCGAGACCATCATCTGGGCTGCTGCGGTATGCATTCTTACACAGTACCACACATGTCCCCTCCTGACGTTGTTGCTCGGGCCGTGAGGCATGTTGGAAGTTTGTTTTTGGTTGAGTTTGTGGCAGATATGTAACGCCTAGTGAGCGGATGGAATGGTGTATGGAATGGAGAGTTGTTTCTTGTCAACGGGCTTTGAGACTGATGATGAGGAACACTAAATATGGCAGAACGGGAGGTGGGTTTATGATCTTATATAGAGGGATTGGCTTGTGTAGGTGAAGCAGGATTGCAGATGTTGGTTTGCGTGTTACGGCCCCCATCAACAAACAAGATAGTCCTTCCAAGAGTTCCATAAGTCGAGCCAAGCTCAACGTAGGACTCACCGGGCGGTTTCGTTGCTTCGCCATAGGTAGCCTCCACTCGTAAGACGGGGCCAGTCGGGAACACAACAAGGGCATTGGGAAAACGAGGCGAGCAGAGGCTAGGATGGGGGAACGCTATCCCGGTGAGTAGGTCACCGGGGAATCGGTGCATTCTCTGGAGACACAAAACAACCAGCTACCTTCGCTGAGCACAGGACCGAGGTTCGAGTCTCGACAACCCGTGGCCCAGCGGCCACAGCCAGGATGGGATTGACGCATTTGATTGGAGTAGCCGTAACCGTTGTGTTGCGCAGGAAGGGCTAGGAGAGGCACCCCGGGCGAGGAAGGAAAGCGGACAGGTTGTGACCTGGCGATATCGCAGATTGAGGACGGCAATTGGGGCGTCCCAGGTAGAAAAGAGCTGCCCGGAAGCGCCCGCTAGAAAGGTGAGCGGGCACCGGGCACGAGGTCAAGGAATAGGGCGGATGAACAAATGGATTCCAGGTACAATCTGACAACTTCTGTTCCTTGTGGGGCCGGATCTCATCCTATTCCAATAATTATTCTTGTATCCGGAAGGCACGATCACCAACAAAGCTGGAGCCCGTACTTACAATACCAAATACAACTCCATGGCGCAACTTCCAGAAAAGCTGGGCGTCGCAGCCCTGTTTGCCGGCCGTCAACGGGTATTGTTTGGGGGCCTTGGTGAGCAACTTTTCCGGCTGCGAATGAGGCAGCGAGATTAGGTTCGCTCACCGAGGGCACAAATTCTCACACCGTCCGGACGGGCTGTCTGCTAGGCGCATTTGACCGCGCCCTTGCGAGTTTACAAGTTCGCATGTGCGCGGGTTCGCGAGTTCGCGTCTCTTGACAACATGGCCCTGAGCACCCATCGCTCATCGCAGGTTGATAATCGGTGTCGTCGTGCTGCCTGGATTGGGCAAATTTGGAGGTATCTCTCCATCCAATACTGACTCAAACGGCACTGGCCCCGTTGTTACTGGGCGCTTTGAGGCCGGTGCCGGCTAATCGTTCCGCTGTCCTCGTCGGTCAAGAACGGGATCAGTTTCATCATTTGTTAAGGCCCTCGACCCAGAACCTGGCAATGAACCTGCGGGCCCGGGGGTCAGTAGGTAGGAGACATTTGAACGACGGCCGGATCCGGCCGGGTTCACTCAGTCAGTTTGGTTTCCGACTCGTGCGGTTGGAGGTTTGAACTCGTTCATTCCTGAGTGACGTGTTGTTGGGTTGGTCCGGTGGGCGTTCGGTGGGCTTCGGTGGCCGATTTCAGCCGCCTGCGGGTTCCCAGGACTCAAGCGCTAGGCTGGCCACCAAAAAAATGGGGACGCGCTGAGATGGAGCGAGTTTGAGGAATGCAAAGACCGGCCGCCAGTTCTAAACCGGAGCTTCCCTCCCGGGTTGCGTTGTAGTGCGCTCACAACTCTCCTTTCAAAGCCGCGTTGAGCCTTCGGGCCGGGCAACCGTCCTCACCGTCCCGGACTGCGACCTTTGCTTGAGGAATTACCTCCGGCCCCATTGCCAATGCCTGTGGAAGAAACCTGTTTGAATAGTTCGGGAGGTATGTGCTTGCGTTACCTGTCCTATATTACCTTCAATTCATTTTTCCTAGCGCGGACTAGGTAGGTAGGTATTGATCGTTTCCCGGAGCTGTATCCTATTACAAGCGGTGGAGGTATGTTGGGAGGTTTCTAGTCGGCCCGGAATCGGCTCTAGTGGTGCGACTAATTTTGGGAAAAGGCCTTTCAGTTGTAAAAGTTATCCCTTGTTAACCTTCGAAACGCGAGGGGCCTTGACCATTTAGATTTAGGATCTGGAGAAAAGTTGAGCATTTTGCCCCAAACGTATCTCGCCTGAGGTACGAATATCTAGGTAGGTACCTATGTGGGGTTTCATTTGGGCCAGCAGACCCCGAACATGAACCGGAAAATGCTGTTGGCTAACAATCTGGAATGTGAACCTAAAGAATACCTTACCTACATCACAAGTCATGTACGAAGTATGTGGGCGGCTTTCCACACGCAACGACATCCCCTCAACCTCCGTAATATTAATAACTGCAGATTGAGTGCCTCAAACGAGAGCCCAGTGCATTCACATACCGGTGCCATGGGTCACCTATTTTAAACACTACTTAATACACGGGCGGGCTGGAAAGTTGGCCTTGATAAATGATCTAAGTGAAGCGTTCTCAGTCCTGATGCGTGTGTCTTAAAATGGTCTCCCTCTTCATCCAGCTTGAATAATGGCTCCACAATAATAAGGATATTGCCGGCCATATCACTGCTCGAAACGGCCATCGTCTGGATCAGATGTACAGTTATATTTTCAGCTGCAGGTGGGGTCTCGACTATCGAATGAGAATAAAACGTGCGAAACCCGAGTTTTGGTTCGCGACTTCGTGCATAACGCTCTCTAACCTTACCATTCGTACGATGAAAGTGAAGCAACTGGAGCTTCTGGAAGGGGAGCTGGATCATTCTTCCGGAATGGGTTTGGGGTGAGTTGGCTTGGCATGTAACACTGCTGCGTGGTTTGCCCCGCAATTAATCCAGATCCCATCCAATCTCCACGAACGTCATTTCTTTCCCAGTCCCTTGTTGGTCCGTGTTTTGGCATCGCGGCCTCCCTTTCCGATGCGCTGAGAAGCTCTTATAACCTTTCTGCGAAGAGGTTGTCGTGAAGTTGTTTTGGGGGTTGTCACTCTTTTCCACCGGCGTGTTAAAAACCACCATTTTGTTTCCGTCTCCTTTCGTTGCGATCCCTTTTGCTTCTTCGCCGCCCGCGTCGCTTGGCGCGGAAAGCGCCAGGCTAGGACGCGATGGTGTCGGCTCGTCGGTCAGAGACACGTTGGGTGACGCGCATCATCCCGCTCATTCTCGGCGGTTGCATTGGATTTGCGACTTTCGTCGTTGCTAAACATATTTGCGGTATGTGCTTCTGAGTGTTCTTTCACACCCTCTGACCCTCCCGGCTGACCGTCTTCACGAAGTGGACTTCTTCATTAACGACCGGCAACAACCCGGCACTGCGATCGCTTTCCTTGTCCTTCATTTTATATCCCTTATTTTCATGCTCACGACCTACTTCCGAGTCTTTTCCGTCATACAGTTGAATCCAGGTGTCACGCCACTAGGTCCGCGAGCCGTGGAGGATTCAAAGGGGAGCAAAAGCAACCGACAAGAGGGAGACCTCGAGGCCGCAAACCGATTCGAAGCACGGCCGGACGATAACCCCGATAGCCCTGGACTTGAAGAATTCTATAGCAAAGATGTCTTCGTCTGCGAGACTGATGGGCGGCCACGATGGTGCAGCACGTGCTGTAATTGGAAGATGGACAGGGCGCACCACTGCAGCGAGATCGAAAGATGTGTGAAGAAGATGGATCACTACTGTCCCTGGGTTGGCGGTATCGTTGCCGAAACCTGTATGCTCTACCCCTGGGTTAGCGTTGGCGTCTTGGTAGCGTTGCTGGTGTTGCTGGTGCCAATGCTAATTCTTGTCCTGTCACAGCTTTCAAGTTTTTTGTCCAGTTCACGTTCTACACTTCAATATACTGCGCCATTGTTCTTGCCGCAACTATAATATGTTTCCAGTGGAAGGTTACCCACGGTGTTGGTGTCGACGGCGTGGCTATCGGTGCCTTGGTGCTCTCCGCCTTCTTCGGTCTGTTCACGTTCACAATGACGGCGACATCGATCCGTTATATCGCCATAAACCTCACCAACATCGACCATCTCAAGGCTAAAAATGTGGTACATCAACTTGCGATACGGGTTCCCAGGGGAACGCCCCGGGGGACCAACTACAACGTCATCACGTTTCCCTTGCCTAAACCCACGAATGGAACCGCCCCTGCGCGCCAGGAAACCACAACTGAATCCACTTCGCCGCGAGATCAGCTTGCCACAAGGACATTTGCCATCGTCAAAACCGAGATGGGTGAGAACCCTTGGGATCTTGGTTATTATGGAAATTGGAAATCTGTCATGGGCGACAACGTGGTCGACTGGCTACTTCCTATCAAGCAATCCCCTTGCACGTCATACGAGAATAATGAGAGTTTTTACGAAATGGGGCCTTTGTACCAGAAATTGCGGGTTAGGTTTGGACTTCCCGATCTGCCAACAGGGCAGGTGAAGGCTGAGATGAGCGAGTGGAAGAGGACGACCATGGGATGAACGGAGCACCACACGAACGACATAGATGAGATACCCCGACGGCTGGAATGGGTAGCTGATGGGTAGGTTACTCACTGCCACGCCTGTTATGGTTTTTAATATCACCTTCATAGTTGGATACATTCTACGCTATTTCCATCTTTTTGTGAGGACAAACACTGTGACGGACGTCGACAAGACGTGGGTAATCGAATTTCATGCCGATGTTTCAGCCCTTGTCGCCGACGTCATTTCGGAGCCTGAGCCTCAGCTTAACGATGCTCACCTTAGACAGAGCCAAACATTAATAGAGGGGAGAAAAAGCCTCAAAGCAATCACAGAAAACAAGAGTCTGAGATAAGAAAACAGCATCATGAAACGCTGACCAAGGCTTTATCAAGTTGACGCGCCGGCCTCCCCGCCCATAGGGTAGTCGTCCACCCCAGCCTGCACCATCTGGTCCTGACCTGCATTGTTCTCCCAAAGTCCCATGCAGTCCCAAATGGGATTCCCGCTTTCGTCAACAGCTCTGTTATCTCCATGCATCCACCACACAGCCCCGGTAGAAGCATCAAAGTACCGGGTGTAGCCCCATGGGTTCGATTCCAACACTCCATTGCCCACGTTCCAAAACGGCTCACCGGAGAACCAACGACGCAACGCCGGCGGGTAGCCATGAAGAAGTGGCTGAACTGCCCGGGCTCCCTGGCATCTCCGGAGGCCTTGAACCATGAGCCGGTACAGGGCCGTTCGGAGAGTAGAACCACCAAGATTGTCGATAGGGATGAGCCAGAAGTCCACGTCGCAGTGGATATCTTTAATGCCTTCCGGTGTGTCTGCCCGGAATTGCAACATGAGAAAATGAGCACCGTCAAAACAGAAGGCATGAGGGCATCTGTATTTGTAGGCGTAGCTATCGTGGTGAAGTATGTTAGTGCGGAACAATACTCAGTTCATCTTGACTAATGCGCTGTACTCCTGGGAAAGGAGGAAGGTAGAGAGGGGGGAGGGAAAAAAAGGGAAGGGAGAAGGGAAGAATATAGATGGATGAACTGACCCTCTAAGCTCCCGAGCCAAGGATTTCTGTGTAGCTGACCTGAGTCGCTTATCAAGCCACTGAATTGGATCGATCAAATTGCGTTTGAGCTCTCCGATAGCGAGCGGCAGTCTCTCTTTATTATGCTTGATAGTATACACGATGTCTATAGACTCGTCGTGTTTTTCTTCTGTATAAGGCTTCGGCTGGGATTGCTGGAGGACCGGGGGCGAGCTGGAGAAGCCTGCAACGATGTTGGACACCTCGGCGTGGAACCACGTCACATAATCTTCCTCCTGCTCAAGTCTCCAACTTCTTATGTTTGGGGGGAAGACCAACTGGTTCCTCCGTGATATGTCATCCGGCTGTTCTGGCAGGAAACTTTCATCAAAGTCTGCGACCACGACGTAGTTTCCGTCGCCGAGGTCAACGTTGCGGGTCCGATTCCGCAGTTTGAGATCGGGAGAGAACTTTTTGGCCCATCCCTTGTTCGTCCCGGACTTGTATCCCGGGTTGTACGCTCCGTTGTCTGGGTGTTCCTCGAGGAGTTGGCCAAGTGTCGTCGTCATTTTGAAGGGCAGGGTCAGCCAAGTAGTGTAACCGTGTTGAATCGTGGTGAAAGAAAAAAACACGCTCCTTTAACGCAACGAGCAGGCAAACATGATGCCGTGTTGCGCAAGGCAGCAGCGCCACGATATCACAGAAAGAAAGAAGGACCAAGGGAGAACAGAGTCAAGAAGAGAATGACCTGTATTTCCGCTAGATAGCAAGGCGGGTTGACGTCTGACACGCGGGCGCTAGCGCCTGCGGACCCTGTAATTTAGTGGAGATTGCCCTCTATACATTCTTCTGTTCTTCGAGACGACGCCTGTCTTTTGAGCTGAGCTCCGGCAGGCGCGGTGGCCGCGGTGGCCGCGGGAAGTCCCCGCGAGGCCAGACCGGTGCTCGCGGCCGGATAACGGGGGGCCGGTTCAATTCCCCCATTTCCTCTCGCTCGGCCTCCACCGCGTTGGCCCAAAAGCGAAGAAGTTGGTCGCATGAGTAAACAATTGCGCGCTCGGGCGTGCAGCTGGGATCGAGCTGCTCGACGGACTCCAGATCGACTATCACTATCTTTTCGCCGCTAGGCGTACTGGTAATGTGAAAGTTGTCCAGCTTGAGGTCACCATATTCAACGCCGAATCTAGTGAGGGCCCGGAACGCGTCGTCGAGCATGTCGCTGATTTGCTGTTGGTCTCGGCGCCAGGCTGGCTTGTCACATAGACTTAAATTCCCAACATCGGATAGGATCAGGGCGCGGCGATCCTCGAAGACAACTTCCCCGAAGCATATGGGGATTGTCGAGCCTTGCAGGGGCCTCAACCTCTCATACATCCGCTTCTCGTTCTCAAACTCCTCGTCCCAATTTGGCTTTTGCTTCTTGACGATGAAGGTGCGAGGGAGCGTCCATAGCGGAAACACGTGGAACAAGAGTCTCAAGAAAACTGGGGGAAGCTTGGAAAAGATGCAGTGCATATACTCGTCGAATGGTGTTCGGTGGATGTGAAGACGGAGGACGTTGGGATGGACATTGTCAGCCCATGTCCCAGAAGCTGTGACCGTCTGTCGCCCTAGTTTGAACTGTAGCGAGCTGTGTCAGATATGTAAATCGCGAAGAAGGGCCATCAATGTATACTAACCTGGTGCGACCCAAGCTCGGAATCCGAACTCATACGCTCTGGGAGAATCGTTGGGGAGGTGGCGCAAGCAGAAGCTGCGAAAGAGAATCGACGCACTACTGTGTACTCCTCCTCGCAGTCGCGTTCGGCGCTCGGCAACAGGGTAGGTTGATCCGCTCCCGGAGGGCTTGGCACGATGACCCCCTGCAGTGCTACAGTTCCAGGGAGCTGATCAACTACCTGAGGTCTTACAGCCAGGTTTCCGCAGCTTTAGCGCCAGCACGAACCACCAATTAAAATGTACCGTACCGTAAATACAAGCCGGCCGCATCGGCCGTCACGCCTGCCTGCCCCACCATTCGGGAAACCCCCACCATCGTAAACCATCACAACTTCAGTTCATCAACAATCATGACCATTCGGTTTTTTCAGGATGTTTCCACGGCTTGCCGATAAACTTCGGGCCAATGTCGACTTCGCCGCCGCCGCAGCGAAGCCGGGCGGCGTCTCCAGAGGGCGGGCTCTCCCGGAAGCGCTCACAATTTACGTATCGCAACTTAGGCCAAATGGCGTCGTACATCCCGTCCTGCCCGCTTAGAGTCATCGCCCATATCGACCTCGACTGCTTCTACGCACAGGCGGAAATGGTGCGACTTGGTGTGCCAGAGGACCAGCCACTCGCGGTACAGCAATGGTGGGTGGGCTCTTTTCCTTCTCTTTCTCTGGCTTGTCTACCTACTTTCTATCACATCTCCGACGGAGAACTGACGATTGACGGCGCAAAGGCAAGGGCTCATTGCTGTGAACTATCCAGCCCGTGCCTTTGGAATTGGTCGGATGTGTACTGCAACCGAGGCAAAGAAGTTGTGTCCCAACATCATCAACCAGCATGTTGCTACCTGGCGGGAAGGGGATGACAAGTGGTATGTACGCACCTCTGCCTTGGAGGACTCATGGCTGACGTGTTTCCTGAAGGGCTTACCGGGATGATTCCGCGGAGAAAATTGGTACGGACAAGGTGTCGCTTGACCCATACCGCCTCGAATCGAGACGGATCTTTGCCGTGATCAAGCAGCACCTCCCTTCGCATCTGCAGAAGATGGAGAAGGCCGGGATTGACGAATTGTTTCTCGACCTTTCCGCCCACGTTCATGCCGTGCTGCTCGAACGCTTCCCCGAACTGGCCGCGGGTCCCCCGGGCGGAGACTTGCTCGAGCGGCTCCCTATGCCCCCTGTTTCTGCATTCGATTGGCAAGCTGATGCTCTTATCGACCTGGATGACGAACATGCCGAATTCGACGACCCGGACTGGGACGACGTGGCCTTACATGCTGCATCCGAGATCGTGCGTAATATTCGGGCTGCCGTCCGGGATGAGCTCCGGTACACATGCGCCGCGGGCATCTCCAAGAACAAACTTCTCAGCAAGCTTGGTTCTGCTCACAAAAAGCCCAATCAGCAGACCGTAATACGGAGCCGGGCTACGCAGCGGTTCCTGTCGGGAATCAAGTTTACCAAGTTCCGGAATTTGGGCGGCAAGTTGGGGGAACAGGTTAGCCAAACTTTCAACACGGAATCCGTTCAGGAGCTGCTCGCGGTTCCGGTTGAACAACTGCAACAAAAGTTTGGCGATGACACCGGCGTCTGGGTTTACAACACATTGCGCGGGATCGACGCGAGCGAGGTGAACTCGCGAACCCAAATCAAATCTATGCTCTCGGCAAAGTCTTTCAGACCCGGTATCAGCACCGTGGAGCAAGCCATGAGATGGCTCAAGATTTTCGTTGCCGACATCTTCGCTCGGTTAGTGGAGGAAGGTGTTTTGGAGAACAAACGCCGGCCCAAAACGATCAACTTGCACCACCGACATGATAGCCAGACACGCTCGCGCCAGAGCCCCATACCCCTGGGACGTTCCCTTGACGAGTCAACTCTGTTTGGCCTCGCCCAGCACCTTCTGAATCAAATTGTGCAAGACGGCCAGGTGTGGCCATGCTCTCATCTCAGCCTTAGCGTGGGCGGCTTTGAGGACGGCATCTCGGGAAATATGGGAATAGACGGATTTCTTTTGAAGGGAGAAGCAGCCCAAGCTCTGAATCTTGGCGTTCGTGTTCGCTCGGGCTCTCCGGATAACTCTGGACTACCGCAGCTTGGAGAGAAGCGACGGCGACTAGACGAGGGCGGCATCCAACGTTTCTTTACGAAGGATATTACTCCGCCATCGGTGCGAGCGCCGAAGGGTGGGAGAGAAGGAGCTGCTGATAATGGGCACGACTCCGCAACGACCCCAGATCAGGAACTGCTGGCCCAGACCAATGATGAAGACCTTGCTGTCCATGGGAGCGACCCCTGCGAGCGGTGCGGCGTGGTTCTGGAGAACGGAGAAGCACTCCAGAACCACCAGGACTGGCACTTTGCCAAAGATCTCCAGGAGAGCGAACGTGGCACGACGGTATTTGGCAACCAGCCATCTGCCGCTGCAAGAAACCCGCCGTCCGGCGCTCGGAAGGCCGGACCTGCAGCAAAACGACCAGGGCGGCCAAAAAAGACAGAACGCGGCCAGCAGAAGTTGAGCTTCGGTTGAACAGGTTCATGCGGCATAGACGTGACCATGCGACGCACGGCTGCAGCCGAATTGGTCGGAGCGGAGTGCGGGACATTCGGCCGAGTCCCTTTTATGGGTTTCATCCTAAGAGACGGAGTTTGTCGTTTGGAATGTATGGTGATACTAGCCCGCGACCTCGGTTTCAATCGTTGTTAGCTCAGCAGATGAACCTACAAGCGCTTCCGTTTGAGCGACCCGTCGAAGATCGAAGTTGGGACAATCATGACAAGAGAAGCTGAAAGTTGAGAGCTGACGAAGCGCATCCCGCCGCCGCCTGACACCCGTACATCAAGGAGCAAAAGGCGCCTTTGCGTCTCGCAGAAACGAGCTTAGACAAAGATTTCAACATCCCACACACACCCTTGCGAAGCTATCATCGTCCATTCGTCGGGTTGGTGTTCCGGAAGGTTTCCAAGCGAGACCTTTCTCAACCCGAGTAACCTGCGAGATGTGAACCCCCCAATGACCGACGGGATGGAATCTCGAGGGGGTTGAGGGGTGTGTCGATGGATTTGAGCGATGCCCGCGATGAGTTGGGTTTTGTCGCCGGCCTTTAGCACACCGCTAAGAACAAGTCGCAGAAGGCAAAAAGCCCGTCGCCTGACAGAGGCCGGGGGCGTTTCCAAGCGCTGAAGACTCCGAGGTGTGCCGCGTGGCGATTGGCTGAGCCTTTGCCGTTCGAAGGCCCCGCTCCCTGGTTGGGCCTTGAGATGCATTGATACCCGACCTTGACCACACACCATCCGACTCACTCTCAACTAACTATCTCTGTTCTCTGTTCGCCACCACTGGACGGGGCCCCGTCCTGGATAGGAGGTGCCCGCTCTCAGATGAGCTTTTGCTCAGAACTCCCCGCGATCACGCCCATCCGCCGTGAATCGGTTCCAACGGAGGACGGGCGGGGAAATGACAAAACCGTGGTGTCTGCTTGAGACCTGAGTGGGGTGAGGGGGGATACTCTCCAGTTACACGCACTCGGTTGGTGAAGGACACTCACTCGCGAGTCGCGTTTCTCATGTGAATTCTGGGCATCACACAACCGGAACGTCATGTTTTTTTTTCTTGGAGCTTGTTGAAAGTGGAAAGGCCCAGAAACCTCCTGGATCTTAAGTATCAACAAGAGTGTGAGTGATCCTGCAGAAGCCGTTCGGCCAACTCCAAGCTCCGGCGCTCAACTGGCGAACTAAGCATGCTTTTCTTCCTCTGAGGGGTGATCAATTTTTTTTCTGGGTAAAATGACACGCATCCGTTTTCAGCCCTACACAATTTTTGCCAACCTTGCCAACCGAGCGAAGCTCGAGAGGGCTCACGTCGAGCCCAATCAGGGGCCGCAGTCTCGTCCCAGCCCAAACGATTTAGGCCACCGACGCCGAGAATGTGGACCGAGCCCGTTTCACGGGCCCTGGCCGTCCCCGCCTCCGTTTGTTTCGCAGCGCCGATAAGTGCTGAACCTCCACCGATGCAACGGAAAGTAGTGTAACTTGTTGGTTGTCGGCCGGCGTTGTTTACCTTCTACGAAGTACATTTGTTCCCTTCTTGGCTGCCCCCTTGCGCCTCGCGGCCGACATGAATGTCCCTTTCCCTGTTTCCTGCGGCTGGTCAGCTCGTGGGTTCGACGTCCCACTCGTGGGTATGGGGCTCTCTGACTGTACGGCTATGCAGAAAAAAGCCGAGAAAAGGGTTCATGACCTATGATTGCGTGTTTTCTAGTGACTCCGCCTGGATGACTTTCTCACCGCGTGCCATTCACATGTAGCTTCGCGGTGTCATCTTGCAACCCTCTTCAAAAATGTCTGGTGGATGAATGATTGGGAATTATGATGAACGGTGGCGTGTTTTCACACAGTGTTAGACCGTATCAGAACCACACCTCGTCTCCCTCAGGTCCTCCCGAAGATACTCTTTTTGAAGGCGCTCCTCAGCCGACAGAGTACATAGTACACGTGTAGTCGTAACCAGTGCTTACGAATAGTTTTATGTGTTACCGCCGACGGTTCCTCCGGTCTGAACCAAGGTTGGAAGTTACGGCGACTGTGCTTGACTGGCCCCTTCCGTTTGTCCGCCACCCGGGTGCCATGGCACGGGGTGGGCAGCGTCGCGCGACCGTAGCCAACGAAACGCTGCCGTTGCGTCCAAGCCTCGCCTTTTTGTCTCTCTTCCACGACGGTCGGTTCCAGTCCAGGTCCCAGCCCAACCGAGAGAGGCCGCTGGTGGACGAGGGCCCACTGCTGTCGCGACCAGGCCGCCAGTCACGGCTTGCGCTGCTAGGCAGGAGAGCCCCACTTTCACAACCCAACCCCCAAGCGCCGGCCGGGTTCCCCTCGAGGAGGGCCTGCGCCGTCCATTTCTTCCAGCGCTGCCCGCTCTCTTTCCGCCCCTCTGCCCTTTCGTTCATTCTTATTCCGCCCGTTTTCCATCTCCCCCTTCTCGCCGCGTCGCCCGGTTCTTTGACCTCACCCCAGCCAATTTGTGTTTGTCCTTGACGGCTTGGTGCAGAGTCTGCTCCCCTCTCTTAATAATTTCCTCCCTCGCTGCGACTTTTCAGCTCTGTGACCCATTATCGAATTGTGCCCAGACAGTCCTCATCTTCAAAACACCACGCAACATGACCGGGAGGCCAAGCAACAGGACGAGCCAGCAAGCGCCGGCAATACCGCCGGCGTCGGCTCGCCAGAACGATTATTTTGTTCCTCGCGATGGCATCGACCGGGAGGTTATCACATCAGACATTTGCCGGTATCTCGGGAACGATGCCCTAGTTCGCCCTGGCACTTACGAGGTACACCCTGCTTTTTGCTTTACCTTGCCTCACCTACCTTCCGCTGTGACTCGTCACTCACTTAATTCCCTTTCTAGTCGCCGGATGGCCGTGTCACACAGGGCTACTACATCACTGCCTATCGGAACCTGACCTCGGTAAGCATCATACCTCGAGCACGAGCAGCTCAACGGGTCGGCGAAAGTCACCTTGTTTTCTAACATCGCATCAGGCAATGATCCAAGATCTGAAAGCCGACTCCGCCCGATGGGAGCAGGAGAGGCGCGCCGCCTCGAGGTCTGCAGGTGGTGGTGCTGGAGGTACAATGCACTTGAGCCAACCGAACGGCGTATCTGTGACAAGAAACTCTAACTCGCCCACAGGCTCCCGGGAGCAGCCTCGTGGCCAAGACTACAACTCGTGGAAGCGCCAGCGCGAAGCGCAATACGATGCCCAGTACGGATCTGCCATGGATATTGACTATGCCCCTCCCCCAGGCTCTTCTTCCACCCCGGTCTATACTGGCCAGCAGTACTCTGGCCCCCCTCCCGCAAATTACCCGCCGGCCAACTACCCAGCCCAAGCGCATCCCGCCGCCGCACCGCAGTACCAGACCCAACCGACCTATGCGTACCCGCCGAACCCCCCGCCGACGCAGTATTCGCCCCAGCCTCAGACGTCTGGTGACCGGTACCCCGGAATTCCACCACCCCCCATCGCTGGGACCTATGCCCAAGATGCCTTCGTCCAGGGGTCAAATTACCAAGTGACGGGGGCCGGGTATGCCAACCCCGGCCCGAACAGGCTACCACCAGCTATGCCTCATAGTTCCGCGCCGCCTTCGAGGACGTACACTGGCCCCACGACTGGCACTCCCGTTTATGGGACGGAAGCAGACCCATACGGTTACCCACCACCAGCTGGGAATCCTTCTGCCCAGGGGTTTCCGGCCGACACTCTTTACGGCCGTGGTGCGTATGCTACCGCCAAAGCCAACTCTCCGGAGGCTTCGTCTGATGTTTTAGGGTCCCCAGCAGGTACAGCCCAACGGCCCGGCTACGTAGCCCCCCCGGATCCCCAGTATGAAGCGCACCAAAATCCAGGACTGCAACCAGCAACCACGCCCACCAACGCGGGCCCGACTCAGATCCCACCGGCCGGTGGCGCGCCACCCCCGCGTCATGATCGTGATTCAGAGCCTAGGGAAAGGGAACGAGACCACCGAGACCACCGGGCTCGCCGTTCGGAACCAGAACGCGACGACAGGCACGCCTCTAACCGACCCCGCCACCGATAACCGTGGACGATTCCAAAAAAAAAAACCACGACGACCGGGCCTTTTGCCATTTGCCACGGCCTGGATTTCCCACCTGGATGCATGTGGGACCCGACCCTATGAACCTGATGTTTCTTTCATGTTAATATTTTGATCCCCGGACATGGTCATCTGGCTGCCTATTTCTTTTACTGGCTCTCGTTTCCTGCTTTTGTTTGTTTTGTTTTTATGTTTTCCTTCTTGACCCAAACCCCGGGCTCGGCTTCCGACATTAATGCCGTCTTTTTTCTCCGGACACTTGCCAGGACAGGATATGACCAAAACCCATCTGGATTTGAAGTTGCAAGTTGCATCTTAAAGCCCAGGCGGAAAATTCCCCCATGGACTCTGCGGTTCTCGGCCTTGACTTCACCACACTTATTTATGACCACCACGTCACCTCAATACTTGACCTGACTCAGGTTTCCGCCGGACAAGATGTTCCGCCAACCCACAAACTTCTGGATTGGAGCTTCGAGACTGGCATCAGCCATAAAAGCTCTTGATGCATGATGATGCGCTGGGGGGTGTTTTGATCACCGCGAAAGCGGCGTACGAGGTGGCACATGATACCATTTGGTACTCGATTCTTTGGGAAGAAGAACGGCAATGTGATTCATGGGTTGTTATTTTTGCCCTGGATGGTTCTTGCCTTGCTGTCCGGACCCATTACCAGCTCAGGATTGACTGCCCGATTATCATGGACGAGCGTTTTGCCCATTGCTTGCGACCACAACACTTTTGCACCATTGCTCTCGGCTTCCGCCACGGATCCACCAGCACAACTGACAGTTGGCCACAGTTTTGGCCGGACAGCAGGGTGAGTGAACATCTAGCGAGGTTGTACATATCGAGCTGAACCCCCATCGGATCTTAATGCGCTATATCATTATTTCTTGACCCCAAGGCCACTTCAACCAACATACAAATATGAGTTGGGACCACTGACACAATGCAGGCTGCCTCAATGGGTACCAGGAAACGGAGCATCGACATTCAACCCATCGGACATTGCTTTTTGTTTGGTTTTGTTTCCGCTGGACTTCACCTGGACTGCGGCCCATGGACTGTTAAGGCCAAATGCCTCCGGAATGAGATTGGCTCCTTGATGTCGCGTCGTCCGGCCTTGTTCATCGTCAACACTTCCTAGCTTGCTTGATCTCTTTCACTCTCAGCCGAGAGTCGAGAACGCAGGATTCACAGCTTTTGGGCTGCAATGTATTTGTCTCTGGTGCTCCCACCTGAGACACACAACACATCCGACTGTTTACCACATGTTAATCTGCATGGTAAGATCGAGCGTCCTTTGTTTCGCGAAGTCTGGATCGCATCCCAGGACATGTGTGCCTTCCGTCTCGGTTTCGACTCTACAGGATTTTTCTCCAAATGCTGCCCGTGCCTGACACGGAGCGTCCAGAACCGCGAGCCGCGGCCAGCTGCAACTTCATTCCGGGTGCTTCAATTTCTACCTCGGCGGTCGGTGGGTTTGACGGTTGTCATTTCTTCCATTGCGAGAGCAACAACGCACACATGATTGTACTCGTCCTCATCCAATTTGGACCAACCATCGAGGACACCTCATCGCATCAACCACTCAAGGAGTCTAGTTCGGAGACACAGCACGAGCCTGGAAAGCATCAATCACTCATGGGTCGCAACCCGCAAATAACGGATGCATTCAGCCGCATCGTCCGTTTCATTGTCCATTTTCCTTGCTTGTTTTTGCTCCGGTTGTGGCGCTACCCGGAAACAAATCCTCACGCATCTGGACAAGCCCATGGACCCATCTCGCGTTGGCAGCTTGTCAACCCAATGGCGCGCAATGTGTTAGTCGATTCCCGCTGTTTCCTTTTATTTTCTCTTGCCTGTCTTGCCTCCCATTGTTAGATTCCGTATCCAGCCTGGTTACCCGCCTGTGTCAACTTCACCCCTTGACATATTCGGAGAGTCTGGGCAGCTGGATCATCTCATCAAGCCCAATGCCATGCGTCTTCCACGTCGTTGGACCCGCTGGACTGCTTCCGTGGAATCAAATAAGCTGACTCTTTGGCATAGCTCTCTTTCTAGCTCACTCAACTACCCGTTGGAAATGTTTTTCTTTTTGTTTGTCCGGATGGATCCCCAGGGTTTGGTCATACCTGTTTCTTAACCTGTTGAAGTGAAGTTTGGTCGGTATATGACAAGATGTGGTGCTGTATTGGTTGAATCCTCCCCCGGGTTTCTGTTAGTTTGTGTGTGGCTTGTGTTCTACTGGATTGGACGCGTAGAGGAGTACTGGATATTGCTAATTGGTCTTTGGAAGGAGTGGGAGAGTGAGAATGAGAGAGGGAAACAGGATTTGGTATATTATTGAATTGTGTGGTGTTGTGTTGTTGTGGTCTGGTTTGTGTTTTGCGCTTTTGAGATCGTGTTCCTCTTCCCTGGCCTGAGTCTTGTTAATCGTGTATTGGATTCTGGAGCGTGTTTAGACTGTCCGACGCCGACGGGATATTGGACGGATTATATTGTTGTTGAATACCTCAAGTGATAAAGTTATATTGTCACGTGCTTCGAAGTGTCCGTGTCTGGCACTTGCATTATTCAGAGTGAACTTGCTGCAACAACGCCAGGAACAAGAGGATTCGAGTTCATGGAAATACCACATAGCTGAAGACGATCCTCAGATAGAGACCAAGCAATTTTATGCTCTGTGGTCTACGCCCTAGCTTGATCCTTGGGTGGAACCGCCTATCCCTTTTGTTTAGCAATTGCGTCCAAGGCTCAGGCCTTCGAGCAGGCAAGCTATTGCTTGCCACGAAGTTAATTAATCACAGCGTGCGTCGAACAGCAACGCGTCGGCCGGCCCGTTTTGGCAACGTCAGGGCTTAGGTAAAAAATGCTGTTTTGGGTCGCGAGTCAAGACTGGATGGTTGGGCGGCGATTGGCCCCGCCACCAATGCCATCTCGGCAATGTCTCCAAGGATGTCTGAAGACCGACTCGTCGACGCGTTTTGGTGTGTGGTGGGCGTGTGGGCAAAGTTTGTGTGTTTGTGTTTGGCAGGGGTCTTCCCCGCGTCGTCGCCTCGCCTGCGAATACACTAGGGGAAAAGGGGAATCTCGTCTTCTTCCGTCCACCTCCAGATAACTAACGACATTGTACATACATAGTATGGTTTGTTGGTCCTTGTTCAAGTTGGACCTTCTTTGTTTCTAATTTTCTCTTCTCTTTTGAAAGAGGAACGGAGGAATTACACCGGATCCGGTTTTCAGGGTTAGGGGAAGCAATCAAGCATGCCGCCCGCGCGCGGTGGGATGGATGGATGGAACGACGGTGGCTTTAATGTGCGTGCTTGTGCCCTGGCGATCCACAACGACCAACCATGCTGAACCATGCGTGGTGGGGCGGATTTCACAGGGCAGGATTTGGTGGGGAGATGGATGCAAGAGGAGGGGGAGGGGTTCGAAGATTCGGGATGCCGTCCATGATCCTCTTCCACAAGGCGGTGAGCGAGATCTGGAGAGGGAAAGCTGATGGATTTCGTGCTTATCCTAATCCTGCATTTCTCGTTGGACCGTATTGACCCATGTTAAATTGCCTGAACCCTTTGAAAACGTCGATTTGCCGTCATTGCACACGTGCTGTCTGAATCGGCCAACCTGCAAGTCCCAACTTTGGGCCCATGGGCCACAGGCAGGCCGGAAAATACGACCGCCACCGTCCGTGGGCGGCTTGGTCGGTGAATTTGCTTGATTCCAACAGACTCAGGTTTCATATCTAAAAAAAAACAAAGCCCAAAAGTTGTCATGGTCCCGAGTCCGGTCTGTCATTCCATGCTGGGGTTTCGTCTGCCTAAAGAAGCCCCTGCCCTGTATCTCTAGGCCTGAGGCACTACTCTTCCGGGCCCGTGCCGTGGGCTGACACCAACACGGACAGCGTAAAACCCGAACCCACACTGCTTGAACATCCTGCCCCGCCATTTTCAGGCCCTTGCCGGGACTGCTTTGCAACCAGATTTTGGCCCAAATTTTTTCTGGACCCAGCCAGACAGACCCCTCGACAACCTTGAACTACCACGCATCTGGCTTTCGGCCGTCTCTCACCTCGACCTCTGCCGCGCGCCGCCCCTCTCCGACCCCGCGAGAAGCGTTTTCATGCGATAGTTGGCCCGACAGCTCTGCCGACAATGGATGCCACTGCCATTCGAAGCTTCATCGCCGGGACGCTCGATGCCGATGCCGACGTCCGCCAGAGCGCTGAGCTGCAGCTGAAGCAGGTGCGTGTGTGCGGCTTCGCCTGTGATTTGATTACCATGTGTTTGTGGTGGAAGATGTGCGCGGGAGGGCGTGGATGTGCCTTTGAATTGCCTGGGCCAGATCCATCCCCATCCTGTGATATACCCCCGTTGCGCGCAACAATATATACTCGACACCAGCGGATTCTTCACGACGAGACTAGGGAGCGTCGCTAATATTTGTTTTGATTTCCTACAGGCCGAGGGCCAGCCTGGCTTTACCGATGTGTTGTTGGATCTTACCCAATCTGAACAAAACTCCAATCTCCAACTCCCCAGTACGGTTCCCGCTATCCTCCCTCCCTCGCACCCCTCACTCGAAACTCCGTTCGATATCCTCGCAGCCGACAACTGCGTCCCCCTCGCTCGCTGAGGTACCTCGCCCTTGAGCTAACGTCTGGCAGCCGTCATCTACCTGAAGAACCGCGTCAACCGGGCGTGGGAGCGCTCCGAGTACTATCCGAACGAGACAGTGATACCCGACGATGCGAAAGCGCGGTTTAGGGAGCGGTTACTCCCCATTCTTGCGGGCTCCCAAACCTTAGTGCGACACCAGCTTGTACCGATCCTCCAGCGCATCCTCCACTTCGATTTCCCCGAACGATGGCCCTCGTTCATGGACTACACGCTGCAGCTCCTCAACACCAACGATCCGGGATCGGTATTGGCTGGACTTCAGTGCCTTCTCGCGGTGTCCCGGACGTACCGTTTCAAGGCGAGCGATACCGATAGCAGGGCCCATTTTGACAAGATAATCGAGGCCAGTTTCCCCAGGTTGCTGGTAATATGCAACGAGCTGGTGAACCAGGAGAGCGATGAGGCGGGCGAGATGTTGCACATTGCCCTCAAGTGCTACAAGCACGCCACATGGGTAGGTTTTCCGGGCAACCAAGGGCATTGGAGAGGCACGGTGGTTAACCTCAGCGGTACAGGTCGAGCTCTGCGAGTTCCTCCGACAGAATTCCGTCAACCTAGCGTGGTGTACTGTTTTCCTTCAAACCGTGTCTAAGCCCATTCCGGCTTCGGCCATGCAAGGCGACCCCTTGGAGCGGGAGCGCCATCACTGGTGGAAGGCCAAGAAGTGGGCGTACTTCAACTTGAACCGCCTGTACATTCGGTGCGAACTCTCGCCCCCCCCCCCAATGTCTAGATCCAGCGCAGAACCAGAAGAGACTAACAGAGTGGAAGACACGGCAACATGCAGGCTGCGATGGACAGGTCGGCCGAGCCCCCGACTCGGTTTATCAAGGAGTTCTCCGCTCAAGTCGCCCCGGAGATTCTCAAGCACTACCTCCAGGAGATTGAGAAGTGGGTTTCTAAGACCATTTGGCTCAGTCGGCCCTGCCTCTCTTACGCCATCGTGTTTATGGACGAGTGTATCCGCCCTAAGGATATGTGGGCGCACCTGAAGCCGCATTTGACTAACCTGGTCACGCATTTCATCTTCCCGATTCTCTGCTTAACCGAGGAGGATATTGAGAAGTTCGAGGACGAGCCGGAAGAGTACCTCCACCGGAAACTCAACTTCTTCGAGGAGGTTTCCGCGCCGGATGTTTCCGCTACCAATTTCCTGGTGACCCTCACGAAGGCACGGAGAAAGCAGACTTTTGAGCTCCTCACTTTCATCAACGAGGTGGTGAACCAATACGAGCAGGCTCCCGAGGGCAGCAAGAATCACATCGCGAAGGAGGGCGCGCTACGTATGATCGGGACTCTAGCACCCGTCATACTCGGCAAGAAATCGCCAATTGCATCCCAGGTTGAGTATTTCATTGTCCGCTACGTTTTCCCCGACTTCACGAGCGAACAGGGCTTCCTCCGTGCCCGAGCTTGCGACACTGTCGAGAAATTCGAGCAGCTGGACTTCAAGGACCAGAACAACCTCCTGTCCATCTACCGCCACATTCTCGATCGCATGGCCGACCCTAAGCTCCCCGTGCGTGTTACCGCCGCGCTCGCTCTGCAGCCCCTGATTCGACATGACGTTATTCGGACGAGCATGCAGACCAGTATCCCAACAATCATGCAGCAACTCCTGAAGCTGGCCAACGAGGCCGACATCGATGCGCTTGCCAACGTGATGGAAGACTTCGTCGAGGTCTTTGCTGCCGAGCTTACACCGTTCGCTGTGGCCTTGAGCGAGCAACTACGTGACACCTACCTCCGCATTGTCCGTGAGTTGTTGGAGAACAGTGATAAACGTGAAGATATAGACAACGAGTACGGCGACTTCCTCGATGACAAGAGCATCACCGCTCTTGGTGTTCTCCAAACTATCGGTACTTTGATCCTCACCCTCGAGAGCACACCCGACATCCTCCTTCACATCGAGAGCGTCCTCATGCCCGTCATCGAGATTACTCTTGAGAACAAGCTCTACGGTAAGAGCTACTCCTTCCCCCATCTTACGGCCCTTTGACCTCGCTAATTTTACATCTAGATCTCTATAACGAGGTTTTCGAGATCATCGACAGCTGCACTTTCGCCGCCAAGCAAATCTCGCCCACCATGTGGAAGGCCTTTGAACTCGTCCATGCCACGTTCAAGTCCGGCGCCGAGTTGTACCTTGAGGACATGCTGCCAGCCCTCGACAACTTTGTCCAATATGGCGCTCCGCAACTGATCGAGAAACCCGACTACGTCGAGGCTCTGTTCACAATGGTCTCGGACTTGTTTGCCGATGGCAAGGTGAACGGTGTCGACCGGATTTGCGCCTGCAAGCTCGCTGAAGCAATGATGCTCAGCCTTCGTGGCCACATCAACAACGCCGTCCACGGCTTCATCAACATGGCCATGGGTGTGCTTGTCAGCCAGGAGATTGGTCTCAAGTCGTATAAGGTCCATTTGATGGAGATGGTCATTAACGGCATCTACTATGACCCCATTTTGGCGCTGCAGATTCTGGAATCGCAGGGATGGACAAATAAGTTTTTCAGTCTCTGGTTCGGAAGCATGACGTCGTTCACCCGTGTCCACGACAAACAGCTATGCATTCTCGCCATCATCGCTCTCCTCAACGTCAAGTCCGACCAAATCCCTCCCAGCATTATGGTTGGGTGGCCGAGACTGCTACAGGTTTGTTCTCCGCTGTTATGACATTTTGTCTTCTAGTCGAGGCTAATAAATTGAATAGGGCATCAAGATTCTGTTCGACACTCTCCCCGAGGCCATGGCCAGTAAGTTGAGACGTTTCTAACGCGTCATTTGCCCTTCACTAACCGTTTAAAAGACCGAGAGGAAGCTTTGAAAGACGATTTCCAGTTTGACGGTGGGAACTACGGATACGACGAGACCGACGACGAATGGGACGACGAAGAGGCGAATTGGAACGGCAATAGTGGCGAGACTGAAGAGGAACCGGCTGCAGCCGACGTCAAAGATGAGAGCACCGCTTACCTGGAGTTCCTCAACGAGGAGGTAAGCACGCAACGCAAACGAACCCCTTTGAGTCCATCCGGCGGTGGTTGACACGTATGGATGCCCCCAGTTCCAAAACCTTGCTGACTCGCACCGGAACCAGGCACAAAAGCTCAAGGCTACGGACCTCGAGGATTCCGATGATGAGCTCGGTGAGGACAGCGTGTTGCTGGAGTCCCCACTTGATCGGATCGACCCGTACCTCGCCTTCCGAGACTCCTTCAAGAGTAAGTTTGTTTGGCGCGCTTAAACGTTCAGTAGTATGTCCGAGTTTCTCCTTGCTAACTCGCGGTTCCTGTAGAATTGCAAGCCGAGCAACCCGATTTCTGTGCCGGCCTGCTGAGCCACCTTTCTCCCAATGACCAAACGGCTCTCCTCGAGGTCTGCCGCAGGGCGGACACTCAGGAAATGATGGGCATCCAGAGCCCCTTCCCCATCTCACGGGCGCGTGTTACTGGGCCGAACGGCACAAGCTAGGAGAATGTGACCGCACTAAACGCAGCTATACAGCACTTCCAGTGAGCCTTGGATCGGACGCATCAGCTCAGCGCATCGCTACCGACGGCCAGTCCGCGAACAATGGCGAGTTTGTTTTTATTTTTTCTGAGTGATGCTCGAACGGATCCAAATGTCACGCGTTGTCTTTGCCCGCCGGGTTCAGCGTCGGAAATGATACGATGAGGAAGATGAGGAACGGTTCTGGTATGTTTAACGACTGTGGACGAACATGTGGCGGATGGCTTTTGGGGGACGTCTGGGGCGATATTAGGTGTATGTGGGCTTGTTGATTGATCACTGGGGAACGCATCGAGGTTATGGAAAACGCCGTCGATGTTGCAGACGTGCTAATTTTATATTTTGGGCTCCGGATGGGTACACTCTTGCTTTGTTTTTTTCTCCTGTTCGTTTTACTTTGTTGCTCCCCTTCGGCAGTTGGTTGTTTTGTTTCCCACTCCCTATTCCCCCCCGTGTTTGGTCGGTAGATACATGGATATTTACTAGTAGTCTGGAGTAGAAGAGTGACGACCTTCCTTCCCCATTCCCTCAACCCCTCCTCGATATCACCCCCGCCGAGGACGTGGAAAACGTACAAACGAAACAATTGAGACTTGAGAATAGGGTTGTTGTTCTGTATCGTGGCTTGTGTTATTCTAGGCTGGCTTCATCTTGTCTACGTCGACCAAAGATGGCCGGTGTGCCTCGTACTTCTCCTCACTTTGCAGTTCCGTTGCACGCTCCGACTTCACAGGTCGTTTCCCCCTTTGGCTACTTCGTGATGCTCAACAAAATTATAGACAGCAGACTCGGACACAGTGTCCATTGCGGGCTTCGTATCGTTTCTAAAAGACTTACCGTTAAGTTGTCTCTTTCTCTCGCTGGATGCCGTCCTTTGCAGCCCTTGTGATACATGATGTCTACCCACCTACCACATTTTCTCGAGCTACTCCTGTTGTCTACTACTGGATGCCAGGTTGAGCGCGAAAGAGGGTTGGACGGGGAGAGAAGGCCAAGACCTTTACACTGACGCCATCTCTCGAGAACTCGCCATCGATCTTTCCGCTCTACTGTCCTACGAGAAAGGTACAAAGTAACCCCACGAATCGAGACATCCCGCCACAACACGTTGTAAGAACGTGCTTTCCGGGGCCAACGGCACGACCGTCAGCCAAGAACCCAACCAAGACGTATTTGTGTCTGCTAGGCTTGGCTAGCCTCACGCCAAAACGTTCTGGAAAAGTTGCACAAGAAATAGTTGAGTATGAATGGAAGGTCAAGAAGAAAACCTTCCTCAGGTGTGGCTTGGCAGCAGGGCCAAGAGAACGTGGCGACGCCTTTCTGGCTGGGGTTCTTTGACGTGAGTGTTCTGTGGCAATTCATGAACGGCGTTGGTCTTGTTTTGTAGTGAATAGGGGTGTTGGTCTCTCTGGTATGTTAGTCAAGATTCTGGTATGGTACGGGCGGGCGGGCGGATGGTGATGGTATTGAATGAGGAAGGTTCTTTGGAATGTTGTCTCGGCGGTTGGCTTGGGGGATGAAGCCAAGACGTCGTGGAGGGTTCTTCTCAAGTCATAATGTGTTCTGGAATGTTGAACCCAACTTCATAGACGCTTGGCAACTGCTTCTGTTTACTAACAGCACTTCCTTTCTTGTGACCGAGGCCGGATAGATATCCGTTATGTTGACAGCACTTAGCATCCGAGTTCAGTCGTAGAGTATAGCGTTAACCTCCACCTCTGTGCCCTTCGGCCCGGGATCGCGAATATCAACCGCATGCTTTGATGTTTTCGCCCAAGTGCCTCAATAGCGACGTTAATACAACAATCTCAACGTTACCGTACCCAATACCGTCTGACGTAAATCCGTGTAAGCGCAGCGCGAGGTGTGTCCGGATGGAGGTTGACCCCCACGAAATGTATGCAGTGTCGTCCCACCCATTCCGTCGTCCTGCAGCGAGCCAATGCGTGCGAGATCGAGCATCTGCGAGTTTGTCTCCCAAACCCGAAACTTTTAGCCGGGAGCGACCCTATCAAGCGGCACCCCTCCTGCGATTCAGCAGGAATCCGAAGCGGGCGTCTGGGTGGCATTGCGGATATTGACTTGTGTGTTACATGTACTATCACATTATCGCACTGCGAAAGCGAGTTCATCCCCAGAACCAGGGTCCAGGACAAGGAGCAGCAGGGAACACCGCGTTTGATGGACTTGTTGGGAAACGGGTGAGCGATAACTAACTCAGTTCGTGAGCTTACCTTGGCGTCACGGTGTGCCTCGCCGCTGCGCACCGCCGGTCAGATATCAGGATCGCTGAAGAAATGACTCGTCAATACCCTGCGATAATTGCCCAGAAGCAGCGACAAGCATTGCAGTACACTATGTAAGCCCTTGTAAGCATTCACCGCAGACGGGGCGATTTCCAATCTGCCGTTCCGCTGATCCCCAACTTCCTCCCGGGCGACACAAGAGGCTCAACACGGCCGCAAGCTTGAGGACCTTCCCAAAGCCCGTCGATGCCCAGACTCTCGGCACCTTGGCGGGAAAGCGGTGTCTGCAAGACTGACGCAGTCAACCAGCCCATCCATTGTCCCGGCGGCTTGGCTCGAAGATTTTTTTTTCCAGAGCCATGGAAAAAAAACGAGATACGTGTAGATCGAGCAGCGCGCGGGAGCAAAGACGCAAGATAGCACAATCCCAGATCTCACTCAACGAAGGTCGACTCCCCCACCACGTGCCGGATGTCCCACTTGAAGGAGAGCTTGTCTGAATTGAGGAAGCCGGGCAGCCAACCATTGACCCCCCCTCAATGCATGTTCCGGAGCTTGGCCAAAATAGCAACGTCTCCTACCCACCCAAAAACAAAACCGCTCATAATGGACGGACGAAAGTTGCCGGGAGAGGATCACGAAATCAAGAAACGAGGGCGTGCCGTAAATCGACGCCTCCAATCACCAATTCGTCCGGCCCGTGGTAAATGAACGCAAAATCCAAGTCACCAGCCTAGTGGACTAGGCTCATTGATTGGATATCATCTCAGAAAAGGCTCACCCTCCCACTTTCACCACCAAGGTAAGGCCATTTTCACTTCTCCCGAGGAAGAGAAAGTAAAGATAACCGAGGCGGCATCGCTGAATTGTAACCGAACCAGCAAGGACGGGACAAAATAACGTTATGGTCCAAGTCATGTGCGGAGAAGCAGAGCGGGATGTTAACGTTAGGTAAAAAAGCCCCAGCATTCGTTCCCCTCCTCGCGTTTCCTCTACATTGATCGGCACGATCGATGCATCTCCGTGGAAGCGAGAAACCCAATCCCGCATTCCCAATGCCGCTTGTCTCTCTTTTCTCCCCAGGCCTCCAGAACTGTTTTGCGGCTGCTAGAGAAACGTTTCGCATGACTTGCGGAACGACTAACGAGGGGTTGGATGTAAGCTGAAAACGCGGGGGGAAAGGAAAGGGTATGTATGACCGCAGGGGAGTTAATCTTTTTTTTTCCCAACATGGACCTTGCATTCAAGACTGCGGCTCAATCTCTTTTTTATCACCAACGGTTGGTTCGCACAACACTTTATAATGCCGGCGGCGGCTCGTACGTTCGTCCTGTGCCGTTACCGTCGCTTCACCGCTGCGCTGCGACGGTGACAGCAACACTCAAATTGGCCATCAAAATGATTACGCCGTGTCATTCCGTTCATATGACCATCTCGCCCAGTTCCGAGTTCCGAGACCATGTGCTGCTCCTTTGCTACTATCCACCCGTTTCGTTGTGAAACGTCCGACGTAAAATAGAAGAGCAAAAAAAGAAGCAACAAGAGAACGAAAAGCAGCATGGCGGCGAAGGCGATATTTGCGAGCTAGCGTTTCGTGGTGTTTGTCGTCCTGAATGCAGCGGCCGTTTCACAGATGGGGTCGAGAAGAGCGACACACCCAACAAAGAGACCTACCCACCCATCCATCCACCACACCAAGGACGCCTGACTGCTGCATCACAGTGCATTTCAAAGCCGCAGGTGGAAAGCAAGCAAGCAAGCAAAGGGGCAACAGCTCGGCCGTCTCCTTCTCTTGCTCTCAATCTTGTGGAACGAGCCTCGTTCCATATTGGTTCCAAGGCACAGTACCTCGTACCTACCTCGCCTCGATACTCACCCACCCACACACCCACAATCATCTCATTGACCGCCAAAACCTAACTCTCGTCAGTTCGTTCGTTTTGAACTGTTGCATGTCATGTCAGGATAGCCCAGTCTTAGCCCCATGATCCTTCGATTCCTCCTCCTTACACTACCCACCTCGAGTTGCAGATCCAACAAACAAGGAGGTGGGAAGAGGGAGGTGGGGGGTTGAACTCGCAACACGCGCAAGCGCGAAAAGTAAAATGTGGAGGGGTGGGTAACTATCCGCGTAAAGGAGTCGAAAGGAGTGAGCGAGCTGACTCGGTTCAGCTCGGCTTGAACTCCAAGGCCGGGAAGACCAAGAAGAGGCCCACAATGATTTCCATCCATCCATGGGCTTGTTTTTTTGCCTTTTGCCTTTTGCCATCTGTCCCCCCGCTACCGGCGGCGGCCCAATAATGCTCGGTAACTCGAATGCGTGGTGACCGTCGTGTGGTGTGGCCCATTGCAACCCACCCGCTGTAACTCCGCAGCGGCGGGTTCCTGGGGACTGAGGATCGCCGCTTGGAGCTCTCCAACTCTCCCAGAAAGCGGGGAGCAAGATCCTGTTCTGTGTGAATGTGTGAATGCAAAAACGTCATGGAAGATGTTGCAAGAACAAACAAAGTAAGGGGCAAAGCCGAGTGATCGATTTTGGTCTCTTTCAAGACGGGAGTTTCTGTCTAGCAACAGCGACTGAAGCCAACGAAAGGTGGAGAACCTAACAAAAAAAGTTTTGAGAAACCCTCCAGCCTTCTCCCCCCTACTCGTCCTCGCTTGCCCCCCTCAAATGCGGGAAGAACACAATTGTACATGACGCGGGCTCCGCTAAACGGCGCTGTCTATGTTAACAAGGACTCGGAAACATGTGTACCCATGATGAGTGTGTTCGCCGGCCGCCAACCCATTGAATCCCCATTCCCTTTTGGGCCTCTTCCCTATTGACATGAGCAAGCATGTGCAGGGTATCCTCGACATGACTGACACCTTGACCAAAGGCGCCTGTCCATATGTTGCGTTGTAGCAACATCAAAAGGGGGGTAAAGGAAAAGGGGCATGTAAAAAATATTATCAAAAGTTTCGTATAACGAAACCAAACCAAACCAAACAAAAACAAAAACAAAACTCAAAGCTATTTTGCCCGACAGATCTATCTGGCTTTGCCGCCTGCCTCGCCCAGAGCCCCCCTCACGCAAGTAGAAGCAAAGACCGCCCAATAAATAATGTGTGTGCTCTCTTCCGTGATGCAGATTTGCCCATCCGTGTAACGCCGTGTATGTTTTGCCAGGGGTTGACCGATGCCCCGCTAAAATGGAAAAACAAGACCAGAAACTCGAAGTGTGATGAAAGGGGGGAAAAGGGAAAAAAAAGGACAAAGGAAAGGAAAAGAGAAGCATGAGTCGACGGCCTGGACAATACCCAGACGGACAAGAGCTACTTCTAGTAGCCTGCGCTGCCGGGCATCTTGCCCAACGAATGGGTGTTGTGAATGGCAGGCGGCAGGTGGTTATGGCAAAAGATCTTTTTGCCGCTGTTGCGGTTTTGACACGCCTTCTTGGACGCATCAAACATGCTCGCTGCGTTAGGCTCGTCGTAATTCTCGGGCTGGCAGCACTCGATATTCTTGACCCAACGGTTGTTGATCACATTGGCGATCGAGATGCGCTTCTCCGGGTCCGGGTTGAGCATCTGAAGGAGGACACGGCGAAGCGCCGGCGGCTTGACAAAGGTGTCAAACACAAAGACGTGGGGGTAGTCCATCTCGGTGATGGTCGTCTCGGCGTCGTCGGCGTGTTTCGCGTTCCACTTGTCCCAACCACGGCGGAGAGCAGCATAGTTGTCCCGCGAGGTGGCATTGGCGGGTGCTTCCGCTTTGTGCCACAGGGGCGCACCGAAGATGAGGTTAACCATGACAATGGCCGAGCTCCACACATCCAGGCCACGGGGGTCGTAGTCGATCTCTTTCGCCAGGACCTCAGGCGAAATGTAGGGCAGACTGCCGCATATGCCCGGAGCACAGCGCCGCACTTCACCCATGTTCTTTCCGCATTGGCCGCCCGCTTCTCTGATCCCGGGATGGATACCGGAGAATACCTCGGAGACGCCAAAGTCGGTAATCTTGAGCCGAGAGTCATTGGTGATAAGCAGGTTCTCGAGCTTGATATCACGGTGGGCGATGCCGTTCGAGTGAAGGTAGTGAATCCCAGTCACAAGCTGCTTGAAGAGACAAAGACGGTCCTTTTCCCTGTCCTCGCTCTTAAGGTACTTCTTATTGACAAGGCTGAAAAGGTCACCGTCCTCGCAGTACTCCATGACGTGATTCCATCGGCCGTGGTCGATGCACAGCCGTATCGTCTCGACGATGTTGGGGTGGTGCAGGCTCTTGGCAAGCGTGTATTCGGACTTGATCTTCTTCTCGTACTCTTCGCGAGTTTCGCTTGAGGATTTCCCGCGGAACTCTTTGACCGCGTACAGATCGCCACCGTTCTTGGCCACCATCAAGGTGACCTTAGAAGTTGCACCCTTGCCGAGATGTTTGCCGTGGCGACCCAGAAGCTTGTGCTGATACTCAAACTCAGATGCGAGTTCGATCACGTCCACGGTGAAATCGTCGGGTAGGCTCAGGCTCATCCGGCGCGCCTTCACGCCCGTTCCCGTCTCGGCCGGAAGTCCCCAAAGAGCTCTCTCCATGCGGACGGTTTTGTCAGCATCTCCCGTCGAGCCCCGCTCCTGCTTCGAGTAGTCAAAACTACTCGCACGTCGCCTAAGCTGCAACTCCTGGCGTGAAGGGGCATCCTTTTTGACAACTGGCCGAGAGCGCAAACTGAAACCGGTCGCAGCGCGTGTCTTCTTGAGAAAGGCCTCTGAGCCCGGCAGAGTTGGATGCGACGGGTCCTCCCTAGACTCCCTCGACTTGATGGCCATCTCGAGCGGCGACCCAGGCGACGGCGGTGTATTTGAGCGGGTAGTAGCCGAGCTCCTGTTCATTGACCACCGACGATTGGGCACCTTGCGCTGGGCAGCATCGGGCAGATTCAACAACGATGCGTTAGCGCTATTTGAGTCAGTGCCCTTGTCCGCCTGCGAACCAACCCGTCTCAGAAAGCTCGACATGGTGCGCCGGAAACTCGTGGTCGAACCAAAAGTCGAACGCCTCGAGGAAGTCGCACCGTTCAAGTCCTGCTCTGTTGCGGGCGTGGCCGGGGTGGGTGTCTCTGGTGTGGGGTTAGACGAAGGCGCCCGAGGAGTTTCCTGGGGGCTCTTTGGGGTTTTTCTCGGCGGAGAAGCGGAAGTGTCGACGACCAGTGTGGGTTTGGAGCCAAGTGCAGCACCCTGCCGGTCAGACGGAAAGGCGGCGGCGGTGGCGGCACTCTGATCAGACGCAAGTTGCTCGTGGGCCGGATCTGGGTGGCCGTATGACTGACCGTCTGCGTTGGTGAGAGTGTGAAAATCTTGTGACTGGCGACCGCTCACGGGGGTGACGGGTTCGATTACCGCTTCGCTATCGGTTTCATCGCCTTCTTCGGGAATAGATTGTGACAGCTCGGTAGGATATTGCTGCGGCGATGAGGCCGAACTCGATTTACTTGACGCGAGGTCGCACGATGTATCTAATAAAATTGAGATCAGACGGTTAAAAGTCAATTCCAACTGAGTGCAGAATTTCTTGTCTTTTTTTTTTTCTTTGCCAACAGCAACAAAATCAAGGACAGTGATAATTGAGAGCAAGGCAGCCGACTCATAATTCAGTGCGAAAGCAGGTGTGTAAATACCTATTGAAGAAGCATGCGCCGCTGCAGGAGCAAGTAATGTGACGGCCATTTTTGCTGAGCCTTGGTTCTTTCTCCCTTTTTCGACAAGGGCCCGGAATCGATGATGGTGGGGAAGGGGGGGTACCCCGACGGTTGCTGGAACGTCAATTCGGAGCGCGAGAGAGCGAGCAAGTGCTGCTGCTGTAGTGGAGGGTGCCGAAACTGGATTTTCGGGGCGGCCGGTTGGCGTAACCAAACGGCCGAAAAGCCCGATTCTGACGCCCGAGAATGTTGGGAAAACCCGGACCAGGTGGGCTCAGCTTTCCTGCAAGGAACACACCACCTCACAAATCCAGTGCTGACTGAAAGTTGCCTGTTTTGTTCGTCTCGAGGACCTCGAATGGTGCCGAAACCGGGCGATACAAAGGAGCTGGTGGCTGTTGATTTTCTTCGTTGTGTTCACTAAAAACACGGTCGGACCCAATAAAAATCGGAAAGTCGGGAAGGGGGGGCGAAAGCGCTGGGTGTCTTATATAACAGACAAAAGCCGGCAAAGTCAGCAGGACCGCACAGAGTGCTTGTCGCAGATTCGTTGCTGCGTTACCCGTGGACGGGCTCTGGGCGTGGTCTTGGAAGCCGACAATCGCTCTGTGCCAAGGCTGTTTTGCGGTCGAGAGGGAGATTTGTGTCTCCCAGCGCAGTAGGTGTGGCGGACTGGGCAGAGGAACCAAAGGAGGCCGAGATCTACACGTCGAATGCCCGTTGGCTGGTGTTGGCTTGGCGATGGGCGGGCAGTTGCAGTTGCGCAACTGTTCCAAGGCGTCCAGCAGAAAGTTGGAAGAAAGGAGTGCAACTGGAGGCCGGAGGGAAAGCGTGGACCTTTGATCAAAAGAAAAAAGTGTGCAGCCCCCGGGTGAGTGTTTATAACGGTATTCCGGAAAACCGAGAATGTGGGGGAAGGAACCCAAGCAACAAGGAGGATGCAGCGATTTTCGCCTCCTGCACGAGATCCGGGTTTCGCTGAACTGGGATGACTGCCCGGCGCTGCTTGCTTTCTGGCCGGGTTGGTGCTGGCTGCGAACAGTTGGCGTGTTTCCCAGGTTTTTGGGGGTGTGGAGGGGTCGCTACTTTTAGCGGTGGGGTGGGCGGATGCGCCTAGTTATGAGTGTCAGGCGAATGGAATGGATTAACTCATGTGAAGCGCGTCCTTGCCCGGGAAGCTCTCGGTGTCTGCATCGAGGCGGGGTGTTAGGACGATTTGTGCGGAGAAATTAGGTACTAAATTCGGCAAATGCCCGCGAAGCAGTTGCAGACTTGCCCGTTAGAGGCAAGCCGGACAAGTTGCGAATGGCCTGCTGCTGGTAGGTTGCCGTTCGCGCTCTGCGCTCTGCACACACGGACAGGGCAACCCTAAGGTTAACGTCCCCTGAGGCCGTGGATCCCCCACTCCACCTCAAGGTCCAGTGGACCGCCGACCAAACGCCGAAGGGCATCTCCCAGGACAGGACGACCCCCAAGAACGACCACCATCTCAAGGAATATGCGGCATGTGCAAGACGCGACAAGCAACGGGTTTCGTCCCATTTCTTCCGGCACTGAGTGGTTTCTGCATTTTGAGACCTTGCAATCCATCCTGTGGGAAACGAGAAAGTCATCTGGCAGTAGCGTGGCAAACCTCAACACACAATCATTCAATACTAGTGCTATGTACATACAATCCCTAGGTGTAACAGACTAGTCCGGAGGACACTGAAGGGACCCCCAAAAACAAGGGGCGTGCCCTGTAACGTGGTGCGTGTTGGGACGGGCTTGACACCTCGACACGGAAGCACCCTGCAAGGGCAGGACAACGAAAAATACTTCCGCGGGAACCTTAGAGGCGAAGTTGATGCTGACAAAGGCAAGAAACCCGATGCCGTCTTGCGTGCTTCTTCTCTGCGAAGGTATCCGCCTCAACGGTTGCTTCTCCCGCCATTCTGGAGTGTCTTGGATGTCGTGATCTAAGATAATCATCAGAAGTCAGACAGCGAGCCACGTCTGAGAGGAAATTCCCGTTTTCCCATCGACCCATCGCCCACCGCCCAAATTGTAAGTTACCTTACGCCATACAGGGTCAATACGAATATTACAGCCGCCCAGCGACCCGCCCCCACCCGTAGCGCCGAGAGAGCGAGGAGCGATTGAACCCTCAGGTTCCATGGGTGTCTGATTGGTTGACTGCGAGTGAGGCGGGCGTTTTGGGCAAGCGGTTGTTGAGTGGACAAGTCCCAGGTACCTGGAACCCAGAATTAACCTGCAATGCAAATGAGAGTCTGAGAGACGACCATGAGTGCAGCGCATTGCTGCCGCCGGCCTGTTTACCGATAGGCGAGGAGGCGAGAACGTATTCCGACCTCCCGGATTCACATGTGTACTATGGTATTTTCGCCGGAACGCTTATTCCCAGAGAGCCAGATCAAATGGAGTTTTACCGGTCATTTTGTTCGCGAAACACTGGCCCACGCCGCCAAGGCGCGAGAGGAACAATCAAATATGCCGCAATATCCAAGCCGAGCCCACGTCTCCTGACGACCCGTCTCCTTCAGCGAGTAAGAAAGATATTGATCGCCGACAACTCATACAACTCTTGGCGACATTGATGTTATGGTTCAAACCGCGACAGAACGTCAGCCGGCAGTGTCTGGGCTTCGGTATGGTCCACGTCCATCCGACACGTGCCCCGTTTCAGCAGAACGCTCGGAGCTGGAGATATCAAACCGCAAGCACACGTTTGTCGGGTGGTACGATTCAATAGTGTAATATTGACTGTTTGCTGCCATAAAGCGACCTTTCCTTGTTGTTTTGTGAACCTTAACTGCAAATGCAAGGTACTTGGTACACAGCTCGAGCGAAGGGGGTGACCTCCACAGTACGAGTATACAGTACATATCATTTCGGTCACCTTGCCAAGAGCCACATCGAACCCCCGCAAGGCTCCACTGCGTCATCGCTAGCGTGGGGTTTTGTCAGAAACCCCTCTGACCCCCCGATCCGACTTCCCGAGCACCGAAGCGGCTCAAAGCAGAAGACGCAGGCACGGGAACAAAAGTTGTCGAAAACCGCTGACGGACATCGTTCACCTGTCCCTCCCTGATCACGCCAAGCACCGGCGATACTTCCTCCGTGCGAAGGTATGGGGGAAAATAAAAACAAAATGCGGAAAGCACCAAGCCATCGGTTCACTAATGGCAGTTTAAAAATGGTGTCATCGCGATAAGCTAAGAAGCACGCGACAGGCGGTTTGGACTGGCTTCGGACCCACAGCCTGTTCCCGGATGTGTTCGCTGGAAAGTTCAGCCTCTTCCAACCTGTTTCCCCAGCGCCGCCTGAGACCCAGGTTTCGCTCATTCCGCCAATGACGTCGAGGCTCTGTGTTTCTCTGCTCACAAGGAGACTTCATCAGCCGATGATGGGAAGTCCCGCAGGACCCAATCAGCCGAAGGCACAGCAGGCCAGCAACCCGAACGGGGGGCCGAGTCCCTGCTGAAGAGAGCATCACCCAGGCGTCAGCACTTCGAAAAGGAGGGAAAGAAAACACCAATACACGTAAACGTGCATGCACGAGGCCTTACTCCCTGTTGTCCCCCATCCACAACACACCACCACGACCGCAACCGCAACCCCAGAAAACACACCTTGTCGGCGATCCAGAGATAGTGTTTCTTGGGGGATGCTTGGTATGTCAGGGGCTCGGCAGGGTGCCGTTGCCAAGAGCCTTGGCCTGCTTTCTCACAAGGGACAGACAGCAAAGTCTCCTCTCGGGGACGGGCCCGTACGGAAGACACAGGAACGCGGATTGAGGAACCAGCCCGGGCGCAGAAAGGCCCAAATACCGCCGGTCTCGACGCGGAGCAGGCCCATGGCCGGCGCGCTGGGTGCTTGCCGGGGGAGGACAAAAGGTGCCACGGCGTTTTGGACCGCGGTTCGCGGTGGTCGGGAACGGCCCCGGGAGAGAGACAGACCATGAATATCGCCAGAGACCTGGCCGGTTGGTTCACGAAGCTGGGGGGGCACACGAGCAGAATAATCGCGCCCCCACGTTCAATTCCGTTCGGTAGTCAAGGATGACGGTTCGCCAACTGAAGTTGTCATAGCGCCAGCTGCACGAGTCCAGAAAAAGACGAAGCCAAACCCTCAACCCCGTGGCCGCGCCAACCAACAAGCTTCGACACACCAACAAACCCGCCTGGCCGTCTGCCCTTGGGCGAAGGGCGCTTCTTTCTCCCCTTGCCGCCCCCTTTGGAAGGCTGGAACACGAATGAGAAACCGTTCCGCCCAAGTCACCGCTCGCTCACCGGCCACCGCCCAGTCCGCACAGGGCTCATCTTGGCAAGTTGGACCAAGCAACCATCACGAAACGCGCCTAGAAATCGGGGGATCGGTCGGTGCCTTGCCAACACACTCGAACACACACACAGAGTCCTCATGGGCGCTGGGCAAGGCCTCAGAATTGGCTCGCAAGCTTTCTCAACCGGCTTGGCACCGCGATCTCCCGTCTCGGCGTTTTGGCTTTGTCCATCTCGGGTTAAGGAATTGCGTGGCCTCCTTGCCCATCCCCCCTCCTCTTCTCTCTCAGGTCGGGAAAGAAAAGCCCATCTACACGTATCCGGCATCCCTCGTGTGACGCGTTTCTCGAAGCAGAGATGATCGAGCGGGCCAAGAATGGATGATGCTCCTCTCCACGCCAAGAATGGGTCTCCCCCAGTTTGCCGCTGCGATCCCTTTTGCCCCGCGTCAAGCCATCGATCTTTCCGGCATTGATCCTTGTTGAAGTGCAAACATCGGGGCTATCGCCCGACTCCTCTTGACAGATCCGTGGAAATCAATGGCCAAGTCATACTTTTTTCCCACTTGGGAGCCGGGCGGAGACACGCCCGTGAAGGAGTGAGGAATCAGTACGAAGTAGTGATTTTCCTTCCCGGGAGGTCGGTGAGTTTCCCCTCAGCAGATTGCTGCTGCATGATTTAAACCACGCGGCGCAAAGGTGCGTCTGCGGTGCCCCGACGAAACCGCCCATGCTGTGGAACACGA